AATACCATCCTAAACATTCCTAGTGCGGCCCAGGACCGACGGCGGGTTGTGTGTGTGCCATAGTGTAGTGCTAACGCAACAAAGGCATACACAACGATTCTTATGCAATCACCACTTCAAAAAATGCAAAATAAACATTCATTCCAAAACCCCCAAACCTGCAAAACAAAGGTTAACAATCATCCATTCCCTTGTAACTCCCAACTGCATGAACATTCACATTAAGGACATGATTGGACAAGATAAACGGCCTAAGTCCACTAAGAATTTTATTCGGTCCCCAGCGGAGTCGCCATGCTGTCGCGACCTCCCCGAACCGGCCCCGCCGCCTAAAGGGGTTTGGCTAATGGATTACTAGGTTAGATCTAGCTCGAGCTCTCCCAAGCCCATACCAATTCGCGACTTAAGTTTAAATTGTTAACATGCAAATCAATTTCATCTAGGAGTCGCCACTAATCGATTTTTGGTGGGTCGATTAGACACCCAAGTAGAGCACGGGAGAAATGCTTTACTTCTATGAACCAGGGATTCAATGGGTACGGGGACTTGATTACACTAATTGACCAATTAGTGCCCTTTCGGTACCTAAACTTGTTCAATTCACCACCTAACGTGTTCACACTAATTAGGAGTCTCAAAATTCCGTTCCTAATTGAGCTAAGGAAAGCAACAATTAACATCTAAACCTAACACGCGTAATCGACCCCATGCGAAGTTACGTTAAATGCACAATTCAAAGTGTATGAATCGATCAACATGCAATAAAAAAAGACACTAGTCATGCAAAAAGGGCAAGAAAAGCCAATTCCAAGGCCTAAATAACATTTTTTAATTTTCGAAATTTTTTAATTTTTTATTAAAAAAATAAATAAAAAAATTTAATATTAAAATAACGAAAAATAATATAAAACAGACCGGGTCGGATCTCCACATCCGACCCGGATAAAATATATTTTCTGGAATTTTTCTTTTTTTTTTTTTTAAATAATTGATTTTTTTTTTAAAAAATTAAATTTTTTTTATATTAAAACAATAAAATAATATTAAACGGATCCGGGTCAGATCTCCACATCCGACCCGGATCGGGACTGACCCGGGCGCGCCGGCCCGGGTCCACGATCGGACCGGGTTCATTTATTGAACCCGGTCTGGCAAATTAAAGGCAAGAAAAAGGGCCCAGCCCGAAATTTTTCATAAAAAAAACAAACCATAAAAGCCCAATTTTTTTATTTTCCCCAATAGTAAGTAAAGAGCAGATCCGCAGCCACACGAACATTATCATGGTAGCCAAATAGAACAAGAAAATTAAGAACAAAAGGAAAAGTGAGCTCCCAATTTGATCATGTTGAGATAAAAAAAAAAGAGGCACAATTTCATTTAAGTGACACAATTTAAGCATACGGTGTATGTCCGTCACAATGTCCAAACTCTTATATTAAGCAAGTTGGGAGTAGGGTTATAAAAGTCATAAACTTATTGTATTTGTACTAATTTAGTTCCAAACCTTTTAATGGTGCCCATTTAGTCCTAAATCTTTTGGCCTAGCACTTAACCCGTTACCCGAAATCTTCTTTTGGCTTTTATTTATAAAATTTTGGTGCCCTAATAGGCCCTATTAATGCAAATGTGCCTAATGTCTATATGCCATGGAATTTAATAAAAGTATTTTTGGCTTAGGGTTAAAGATTAAACCCTAATTTTTATGCGATAAAGCCCTAAATGATTTGGGTAAAATTTAGGTGTCAACAGCTACAACCAGCGCTGACGTGGACAAATTTTTAATGATATTTTAATATTTTTATTTAATTTTTCTTTTTCGTTTTTCTTCTTTTCTTTATTTATTTTTTTCATTCCCTTTCTCCTTTCTCCAGCCAGTCGTCGAAACTCAGTGATCTGATAGAGGCCAGGGCCAGCGAGTTCAACCTAGCCTCGTAGGATTGAGTGAGGGTCGAGCCTCGCTGACCATGGGCGAGGCCCGACCTTGCCAGATCCAGCGAGGTTGTGCGAGGCACACCTCGCCGAATCTAACGAGGTCGAGTCTCACTAGTGGCCGGCGAGGCTCGCTGGAGGCCGGCTAGGTTGGACCTCTAGCCGGTCGTCGAGGTCCGGCAACCGGATGAGGGAAGGAGGAAGGGAATGGAAAAGAAAAAAAGAAAAAATAAATAAAAAGATTTGAAAATTTTGAAACTAAATTGGCACAAATACAATAAGTTTATGACTTTTTTGACACCTTTTTAAAGCAAATCTCATGTGAAATTGATAAAATCGAATCATTGAGACAGATTGTGCGGCTGTATAATCGATAGGTTATGTGGTCTCTTTGTTCCGAATTTGTTTGAAACGCTCATGTAGAACAGCCGGGTGAACGAAATGGAATATACCAACAGCCACATTTTGCGGTCAATGACAACCAAACTTTTGTCTCCATACTCTCTCTGCCCCCTGCCCAATAGAGATCTTCAGCCCCTTTCACCAAAGTTTGCATGTGAGATGTGACTTCAACCTGGAATTTAGCTAACCAATCTTCAATTATATATACATGGATTCTCCAATAATTCAGCATAAAATATGGCATTCCATTAAAGCTTGAAATTGAACAGCTCATCACTTTAGATTTTTATTCTTGTAAAATCATAGGGTCAATCGAAACTACGCGACTACCGTGTTCAACATCAAATAAAAAATATGTCGCAATGCGCTTGGTGCACCCGATAATTAGGTCCGTATGAATCAAGGGCCACGTAGCAAGATGCGAAAGGCACACATGTATAGGTATCGATGAAATGATGCTCACAGGATACCATAACCACTCTATCTGTACTTATGCATTTCGGTGTTGCCTAATCGTATGGTTGATCTGCCCTATTCTTTCCGAAAAGGGATGATGGTACGAACAATTCATGAACTTTGGCTCAATGTACAATATGGTAATTTGTTTAATATGATCCTTGAACTTTTTGTACATGTTCAACTTAGTCCATGTTCGACAAAAAAAAAAAAAAACTCAGTCCTTGAATTATATGAAAATGTTCAGTGTTGTCTTTCCATTAATTCAAGTTCAGGGAGAACATGAAACATTTTCGTACAGATCAGGTACTAAAATGGACATGTACCAAAAGTCCAGAGATTATATTGAATAAATTGAAAGTTCAGGGATCAAGTTACACATTAGGCTACAGTTCATGAATCGTATTGAACAGATTAAAAATTTAAGGTCCATGTTACACGTCGAGGCAAAATTCAGAAACAAATTTTTGTCATTTTTTCCTTCGAAAATAAGTGGCCGGCAAGGCCTCGCCGTCCTGGGGAAGAAGCTAAGGACTAGGGGTTCCCGAATCAGCTCTAGGATGTAAAACACCCGCAAGGGACCACCCAAGGTGGAAAGCATCATTTAGAAGCCTCGATGCTAGGATTGGGTCGTTTGTCCCTGTCCGAAAAAAGGCCAAAAAAATAAAAAAAAACAAGTGATCAAGTTCAGTCGGTCACCAAAATAATAAGAGATTTAATCGAGTTCCAAGAGCATCTTCTTTTCCTATTTTTTCATTATTCCGGCGTCATATGAGAAAGTGGGAACTGCGGTGTGCCGGCTCTCTTCCAATCACCCACCTAAGATTGATTCCTGTGTCACGTCGATCGGTTGTCTCGAAAAGGTTGTAACGCCATGTTTTCCACTTTTTAATTTCTTTTGGTTACGTCTGTAATTGTATAGTTACGAGGAATTGTTTCGATTATCCAAGCGTTTGGCTTCATAATACACCCACTTGTGAATATATCATAGCTAATTTGGCTCCGTTTTTTGCTCAGAAAATGAATTATTCGGAATATATTTTCTAGAAACTAATCGCTTATATCACGTGAAATAATTAGTCAATAACAAATAATTTTTATTATCGACATTAATCCAAGTTTGAATATTTTCGTGGATGACAAAAATCATTCATTTTTGTGTAAATGATACAAGCGATCATTCATAAAAATGATTACCACATCAGTTGTAAACATATTGTACAAATATCAATTGAGTCCTAAACTTTTGAACTTTGCCAGTATAATCATAAACCTTTTTATGAAATTTCAATGCGCTCATTACATCTAGTTTTGGTCTGAAATCGCTGACGTGGCGTCTCGTTATCGCCGGCCATCTTACGCGACATCTCTGCTGATTTGACACGAACGACTACGTGAACCATCACGTCAGCATTTTCCGGCAGCAATTGGCCGAAAGGGCTATAATGAAATTTCGCGCAAAGTTTTATGACATAATTAACAAAATCAAAATGTTTATGATCGAATTTAGTATTTGTACAATAGGTTTACGACCGATTCGGTAATTTTTCACCGGAGGTAAGTGTGGAACTTTTGTCTCCTAGCAAATGTGGGACAAAACACCGGGGTGGACCATGTCGTGTAGCTTCATGCACCGGCCTGACCTACTTTACATAGAACGCCCCGTAGTAATTGGGTACAGACTGGCCAAATGTGGTCGTGGGCATAATTCCATCTCTCAAATTAAAATTTGGACAAAGAGAGGCCACGGCCACAAAATTCTGGAGAAAGAGACCACGGACACACATTTTGCCGTCGAAAGGATAACGAGAGCTTTCGTCTCCACACTCTCTGCCCATGCCTAAGTCCAGATCTCAGTCCCATTCCCTGTGCGTCATTTCAATCTTGAATGGGAATTGACCGACCTGCGTGTTTATTTAATCTTATATCTATCCTTCAATTACAATTACGTGGATTTTATAATAATTCGCACATGCGCTAACATAAGCTCGAAAGCCTACGGTTCATCACTTAACTTTTATTGTTTTAAACTAAAAATCTTTACTTCGATCAGAATAACATGTCCAACGTTAAGTAGTAATCTATCTTTTATTCTTTTCAATTATTAAAAATTATCTTATATCACTTGTTTATACTCTTTACGTACATATGATCTATTTTCACTTATCAACTTAAATTTTGAAATTAGACTTTTAAAATGTTCTCCTCCCTTCAGCTTAACTTTATTAGATTTGACATTCTAACAATAAGCTTTTCTCGAATTACCGTCTCCGAAAAATGCGTCTCCCCTTCCCTATAAAAATATGACCCACGCAAATCGATGGCCCTCACGGTCAACAATGTCCCCCACCATATCCCATCCCCTTCTACACAATCTGCTTTCGTGGCACGATTTCTCGCTGCCGCAGTTACTTCTCCTTCTCTCGGGCATTCTAGCAATCAGCTGTTGGGCATGGCTTCGTTTCGCCGAGAAGAAAAGCTCGCCGCCGCTGCCGCCTGGACCGGCAGGCCTCCCCCTCGTCGGGAACCTGCCCTTCCTCGATCCGGAGCTCCACACCTACTTCGCCGCCCTCGCGAGGACGTACGGCCCGGTGCTGAAGCTCCAGCTTGGCAAGAAGCTCGGTGTCGTCGTCACGTCCCCGGCCACCGCTCGCGAGGTGCTGAAGGATAATGACGTCGTCTTCGCCAACCGAGACGTGCCCATTGCTGGGAGGATCGCGTCCTACGGCGGCTCGGACATCGTGTGGACCCCGTATGGGCCCGAGTGGAGGATGCTCCGGAAGGTGTGCGTGCTCAGGATGCTGAGCAACCACATGCTGGACTCCGTCTACGAGCTCCGGCGGAGGGAGGTCCGGAAGTCCGTGGGGTACTTCAGGAGCCGGGCCGGGTCGCCGGTGAACGTTGGGGAGCAGGTGTTCTTGACGGTGCTCAACGTGATCACGAGCATGCTCTGGGGTGGGACGGTGCAGGGCGAGGAGAGAGACAGCTTGGGTGCTGATTTCAGGCAGGTTAGTTGGTGAGGATGAAGATCGAGTAGCATTTGTCTTTCTTTCTTTCTCATAAAGAATTAGCGTATCCAACTGTCAGCATAAAACAACATTCGTTTGGCCAATCCTTTGCTCGAGTGTTTAAACTGCTCATCCAGTCAAAGCTCGATATAACCGCTATTTGTGTTATGCTTACTCTTTTCTAACACAATAATATGTATCAGGCTCTCTTATCTTATTTTAGACGGGACCATTTTGGGTTTTGAGGGTTTTGCACGACTTATTTTCCAGACCAAGTTGCAATGGAACATAACTGAAGATCTTCAAATTAGGCTGGATTGAGTTTATGATTAGTTGGTGTCACTAGAAGCTCGCTCGAAACTGCTCTTTGTGCCCGTTTAGGTAGGGTAGTGGGCGAGCCCCCTAGCCAGTTAATCATCAATATCTATGATCAGTACCATTTCTTATGTTCCAGACTAACATTTTACAAGTTTTCTATTTGATTTTCGGCTTGAGTGAACGTTAAAAATTTGGATACTGATTTTGTTATCTCTTTCTGATTTTCCCTCCTCTCGATAGGTGGTGTCCGATATGACGGAGCTACTTGGGAAGCCGAACATTTCGGACTTTTACCCGGGTCTGGCCCGATTCGATTTACAGGGGATAGAGAAGCAGATGAAGGGGTTGGCAAAACGGTTCGATGGAATCTTTGAGAGGATGATTGAGCAGAGGTTGAAGATGAAGAGAGATGGCGGAAGCGAGTGCAGAGATTTCTTGCAGTTTCTGCTGAAGTTGAAGGATGAGGAAGATGCCAAGACTCCTCTGACAATGACTGGCCTCAAAGCTCTGCTCATGGTGAGCTTTTTTTCTCTTTCTAATATTATTATTGGCAAAGCTTGCTTCCTTAGACTTTACTCTTTTGTTGTGAGTAACATTAACGTTCTAAGAAGATAAATTTTGCGGGGATCGCAGTGACTAGTTTCTTTAGATGATAATTTTTAATTTGTCATATAAGTTAATTCCATAAATTAATGGCATAAAACGGGGTTAGGAGTTTTACGTAAATGAAAAATATACCTACAGTAATAATCGATTTCGAATGCGTGACCTAAATGCCAAGATATGCATAGGGATTGATGTTTACATATGCAAATGAGTGCTCATGCTTCCTCAGGAAAAATTACCAAAAATTCCTAAATATATTGCATTTGTACCAATTCAGTCATAAATCTTTCAACTTGGCTAATTTAGTCATAAAACTTTTGAAAATTTGCCAACTGAGTCCTTCTGGCCAATTTTATCCGAAAATCACTGATGTGAATGATAACCGCCTTACGTGACATGACCGGCGTTGACGTTGATAATTTTTTTGAATTTTTTTTTTTAAAATGATAATTTTTTTTCAAAAGGTTTAAGATTCAATTGGCAAATTATCAAAAGATTTAGGACTGAATTGACACAAATGCAATAGGTTTAAGACTATTTTAGAAATTTCCGACGCTTCCTCTTCTAAATGTCTAATGTTAAGTTTGGAGTAATGCTTAAACTTATTGATTCTAGCTACTAGTTTATTTTCAATCATGATCAGGACTCTAAGGAAAAGATAGTGATAACTTAACTATGTGATGTTATTAATCTTATGGTATCGTAAGACAAATTTTTTGTGTTCATAACTAGAATCTTCGGAGTCTACTAGGTGGAGAGGTTCATCTAGATCCTTTAGGGTTGGCGCAAGTGATTGGGTTGTCAAAGGATTTGGATTTAGGAACCGGAGGTTATCTATTTAAATTTCACCAACAGAATGCAAATTACTTTGAGTCAAAGTCACATATGCATCAGTCGAAGCTTGAACTTAATCGGTTCATGAGATTTGTAGGGTGTTGTATGAACTTTTATATACTCAGGCATTTGTACTTGTGCCACTAGATTATGGAAAAAAACAAATGTCATCTGACCATCTTAGGAGTCGATTATATCAAAAGATTCTTTCATATGAATTGAGGGAAACAAAAGAAAAAAGAAAGAGAGCACGATCCTAGTGCTTTCACTGTGGGAGGATGAATATTTCAACTCTTAAGGCAGGCCTAAAGTTAAGCGTGACTTGGAGTTTGTGCGGCCGGCCAGATTGTTGATTTTTTTTAATCCGTTTAATCATCGCTCATAATCTTTCGTTTACATAAAAGGGCCAGATTTAGGCGGCAGTTCTTATGTAGTTTGAAGCTGACACAATTCTATTTTACATGTTTATTGGTCTTTTTTGTTTCTAAAAACTTTAGCATCATCTATGATCATGCGAAAGCCGACAGGATGTTTGTACCTTTCGTCTTCGGATGCAAAAAATGCTAATTTGACAATTCCCAAGAAGTACATTGTTCCTCAGATAGGCCTGAGAGAGAGAGAGTAATCCTATGATTTTTTTATTGAGAATTAACATTATGATATTGCACACTTTACCTCGGCACACTTATCAATAAGGGGTTTTAATTTTAATTCTTTTTTTAGAGAGAGAGAGAGTAACCCTATGATTTTTTATTCAAAATTTACAATATGATAATGCACGCTTGACCTCTGCACACTTATCAATAAGGGGTTTTATTTTAGTCCTTTTTTTTCGGTTTTAGGGTTATATTGCTTTGGTACTGATAAATCCAACATTTCTCAATTATGCAATCTTATTCAGCCCTGACCTCAAATTATGTGAGAATCTAGCGTATACAATGTCCTACTCAATTTCCCAGCCCTGAAACTTTTTTCCACCCGAGAGTAATAATTTCCGGACACAATACCATAAACATGATTCAAAACTATATGACCCGACATGTTTTGATCCGTCTTGAACATAAATTGATTTTGTCATTGCATAGGACCAAAGTTAAATTTTCAATCGCATGAAATGAGACGAACATGAGAGCGGGCAATAACACGACTTGCCATCTCTACTAACCTCTCAGCGATTTTTCCAAGTTGCGTTAGTCATGGCCACGGGCCGGTTTTGGCCCGGAACCGGCCCGGTCAAACCCGGGCCGGGCCCATTGACCGGGCCCGCGGTTCGGAACCCGAACCGACCAATTTTGGAATCGGAACCGGAACCGCCGGTTCTGTTTCAAATTATTTTTTAAAAATAATAATAATGAAATTTTTTTAAAAAATTTCATTATTTATTTTTTTTTTATAAAACAAATTGAACTCTAATTGCCATGCATTGATCTCCAATTGCAATGCTTGGCTTGGGTGTATTGAACTCTAATTATAAGGCTTGGCTTGGGTTTTATAAACAACCCATTTGATGGTCTCTTCATTCCCATTCGATGTGGGACTCTCGTTTTGCCTTGAACGCCTTCAATATGAGACTCTTGACTTGTCTTCTTGCAAATGCCAAGAGTCTCACATCGAATGGGAATGAAGAGACCATTAAGGGGGTTGTTTATAAAATCCAAGCCAAGCCATGAGCATGTGAAATTTTATGCCTTTTGTGGCTACGATCCTTTGCTAGTTAAGAGCAAAGGGTTCCATTGGACCGCCTAAAACCGGACTGGACGTCCGGTTCTATGGTTTGCCGGTCCGATTCCTAGTTCTAAAATTAAAAGACCGGTCTTACCGGTTCGGCTCCCGGTTCCGACCGGGAACCGATCACCCCTACAATTTTCATTTTGATTATAATTTATATTGAATAATTTATTATTTCATATTTTTATAATTATTAACTTTTTTATTTCATAATTTATTTTTTTAATTTTTAAATTACGAACCGGAACCGGCCGGACCGGAACCGGCCGGTTCCGGTTCACACATGGCCACGAACCGGAACCGCCGGTTCCGAACCCGAACCGGCCGGTTCCGAACCGTGGCCATGACAGTTGCGTGTCCGGTGTCATGTCATTGACTAATGAAACTCTCCATCCTAGCAATTTGTTTTGGTCGTTGGGCGTTCAAAATGGCACTAAGGCTTGAATATGGGGCACGGTTTCACTGCTAAAAGATTAGTTTCATAAGCCTAACTCTTGCTTGCGTGCTTTCAAATTCTTCTCCTTGACTTCAATTTCTCTTGAGGACGGTTCTGTTGAAAATTACACGCAATTGCATTACTTTGACAGGATATGGTGGTCGGTGGATCGGACACATCCTCCAATACAGTTGAGTTTGCCATGGCTGAGATCATGAACAAACCTAGTGTTCTGAGAAATATCCAACATGAATTGGAAACTGTAGTTGGCAATGACAACATAGTAGAAGAATCTCACATTCCTAAACTACCTTACTTGCATGCCGTCATGAAAGAGGCACTGAGATTGCACCCAGCGCTTCCCCTGCTGGTCCCCCACTGCCCGAACGCGACCTGCACCGTCGGAGGCCACACGATCCCGAAGGGCTCTCGGGTCTTTATCAACGTGTGGGCAATACATAGGGACCCTTCGATATGGAGCGACCCGCTGGAGTTCAACCCCGAGAGGTTTTTGCATGGTAAGGGCGATTACAGTGGGAACGACTTCAACTACTTCCCCTTTGGGTCCGGGAGAAGAATATGCGCGGGGATAGCAATGGCCGAGAGGATGGTGATGTACTCGCTCACCACGCTCTTGCATTCCTTCGACTGGAAGCTGCCCGAGGGAGAGAAGATGGATCTAAGAGAGCAGTTTGGGATTGTCTTGAAGAAGAAAATGCCTCTAGTGGCTATTCCTTCGCCGAGGTTCTCTGATCCTCGCCTTTATGAATGAGTACCGCTGCATGTTGGTATGGTTTCTTTATATAATCTTATGTGAATGGAACCAGGGGAAAAATTGCATTTACCTATGTTCATGCGGTTAATGAAACTCCAATCTATGCGGTTATTTGATCATGTTTACATATCGCAGAGATACATATTTTTAAAGTGAAAAAAAAAGTCACATGTTGCATCACTTTCTGTCCATTATCCATCGAGAAAACCGCTTTTGACGTGCGATGTTCGAACAATATGATGCATCCATCTCCAATTTATATATAACATGTGATTAGTACCAAAAATATTTTGTTTGTGGGTGCACACATGATGGTGAGCCGTATCTTTCTTTTCTTCCTTTATTTATTTTTTTGGCTAGGCCTTGACTTAAATAGCCCAGAAGACCCACAGAAGAAGTTCCTGAGGCCCAGCCCCTTGATTGCACACATGATTATTTTTTGTTACCGAGGCAATAACTTGTACTCATGTTAAATCAATGGGGGTAATTGGGAGCCAGTAAAACTTGAGGAATTTCACGTATCTTTGCGTTGAAAAGCTAGAATGTTGGAGCAGCAGCTTATGTTTGACTTTTACTAGTTCGCTCATATATTAAGTAGAGGGGCAAAAGAGCCTCTCAAATAAGAAAACGTTTAAATAGTTTTTAATTTACAAGGCGTGAGTAGACTTGATGAAAAGAGTCAATTTGCTGTCAACACCTTACATACTTTGATTAATCCTTTTCAAGCCGAGTGGTCCAACACAAGAAGCATCGAAGCCATGTGACGATCTATTCAGCCTATGAGATAGAGGATAAAACTTAGTTCTCATGCCCCTGGCGTAATCTTTTGTATCCAATCAGCCCCCAATATGTACTTATCTAATCAACACAAACTTCTCCATCTTGACCATAAAAAAAACTTTCCATCTTGCAATTATTTTACAGCCGTGGGGGAGTGAAGTGGATCAGCAGGCTGATCTACGAGGAGACGACCGGGGTACTGAAGATCTCCCTGGCGAACGTGATCCGCGGGCGCCGTGGCCTACACAGAGCATGTGCGGCGGAAGGCGGTGACTGCCATGGACGTGGATTTAGGAGGGTTTTGATTTATAGTACGTTGGTGATGTAGTTGTAGAAGTGTAGTGGGTGTTGTGTTCTAAAGAAATGAACTTGTGGCGGTTCGATGTACAATGGGATCTATATTAAGGTGAATAGAATATCGGCTTAAGTTTTCCGATTTCGCTTTCTGCTTGTGTTTTGGGATGAGTTTGGCATTCTATTGGTGCTTCGGAATGATGATTTTGGAGATGCGTGGCGTTGCAAAGAAATAGAAAAATTCTTATAATACGTGAGTTCAAGCAGAGTTGGATGAAGAGAGCATATTTGCGAACTCGAACTAAAAATCGGAAGCAATTGGTTGAGTTAATAAGTCAGATTAGAGTAAGCAAATTGGTGATTGTTTCAAGCAGGACAAAAAAATGAGCATGAGAAGAGATGAGAACAGAGCAAGGGAAGAGAGAGAAAGAGTAATGGAGAAGGGGAGCATTTCCAAAATCCTTAAAAAGTGGGCCCGTATGGACACACGTGAATAAAGTGATCTATGTCAATACACGTGACGAGAGCTTAATGAAGTGACCCACCATTGACGTGATTAGATAGGTCACTCCCATATTTTCTCACAATTTGCACTCAAAATAATACTAAAGGGAGTGTGCTCTTTACCCCAAAAGTTAACTCATTTTCCTCTTATATTACTTGAGAAAGGTGAGAGCTCCACTTTTCATTTATGAAAAGCTAAAATGCTGGAGCAGCAGCTTATTTTTTACTTTTGCAAGATAGGCCACTCCCATATTTTCTCACAATTTGCGCTCAAAATAATACTCCAAAAAGGGAGTTCTTTCTTGTGCTCTTTACCCCAAAAGTTAAACTCATTTTCCTCTTATATTACTTGAGAAAGGTGAGAGCTCCACTGTTTCATCTTCTTTACGTGCCTGGCGAGGTGGCCTGGCGAGGACGGAAGGCCCTGCGAGGGCCTGGGCGAGGTCGCCTCGCTAGCGACGCCGCCGGGCGGGGACCGCCGTGCGCTGTCGCCCGGGCTGCTGTCGCTCGGAAGTGGCGGGCTCGGTGTCACTCAACTCCAGCGACGCCGACCTGCGACGGCGCCGGCGGCCGTCGACCCAGCCTAGGTCGCTTATCCGTCCGCCGGCCACCTCCGGTGAAGAAGATGAATAGTAATAGGGGCAAACCGGAATATTAAGAATAAAATTGCCAAAGCCCTTTGCAAAAAAAATTTACCAAACACTACTTAAGCCAAAGTAGCTTCACAAATTTTTTTTTACCAAACACCACTTGCATTTCCTCAAGTTGGCTTTTACCTAAAGGTATTTATTCCCAAGTTGCATTTAAAAGTCGAATCAAACGGCCCTAAGTAGATGGGCAAAAGAGCCTCTCAAATAAGAAAATGTGAAAGATAAATCACTTCGTAATATACGTTTTGATTTACAAGCCGTGAATAGACTTGACTAAGAGGGTCAGTTTCTGTCAACATCCTGCAATTATTTTTGGAATTGACCATGTGATTAAATGTTTAATCCAAATATAATAAATTTTATATTCGAATTATAACATTTCAAACTCTGAACAATTTTGAAGGCCAATCATGTAATCTCATGAATGAAGTTCTACTCGAGCTCGTTGCGTGCGAGGCAGGCACAACTTGCATCTATACCTAAAAACTAATTGACTTGAAAGTTCGAATATCATTATTTCATACTACACAAGGAATATTAAGATGAATGTGAATTTACCAACAATGACTCAAAAGTTGAATATTTTAGGTGGATCGATGTCCAAAAACTAAGTGGTTGCCAAATGCATGAAGGCATTTCGAAAAGTGAAAAAGAATGGGATTTAAGTTAATCGACACCTGGCATGTTTCATCATTTAAAACCTCTTTATTATTGCCTTCAACATTTATGTCAATAAACCAAATTAATTTACATATATTTGACTCCAAAACTTACCTATTAAATGAAAAGAACTCAATCATCAATTTATAGAAAATACTTAATCGAAATAGATTACGTGATTTTTGTTTTTTTTTGTAAAAGTAGCTAACTCCTCTTATTGAAAGTTTGGTTATTTTACATCTGAAAAAATTATTTTAATCCAATTATCCATCTTAGAATATGATAGAAAACTATCTTTAGTCTAAATAAATATGATATGTTGATATTCGTATTATGTGATATACGATAAAATCAATGTACTTGTAAAGTCAGACATAGAACGATATTCTTAATTTTTGTATATAAGTGACATTATAGCTTTTGATTTATTAACCTTCATTAAAAGAAAATATTCTCCATTGGTAAAGCGAAATAATTCTCGTGAAGCGTAACATCACAACAACTCACGAGGACTTCGAAACGCTCGATGTCGAAACGGCCTCATTTGCATGAGGACAAAATCAACACGGACGATCACTTTCTGAGTCATGGCTCTCAAATTTACCTCGTCTTGATGCAAGAATATGTAACCTCCCTAGGCTCCACTTCCGCAAGTAGAGAGGCAAGAGAGCAAAGCAAGCACATCAATGCACATTCAATGAATATGACTATTCAAGTATAATGGTTGTCGTAATGCGTGACAGATGGTGATTACCTTCTCGGGTTCAGTGAATAGGGATTTGCTGTAAAAGTAACGTTGCGGATCCAATAGGAACTTTGCAATTAAATAGAGAGAGAGAACATCGCAGAGAAATAGATCAGAAAATAATAAAAAAATATGAAAATTTACGTGATTCGATATGAATATCAAAATATATATCCATAAAAAGAGTTAAATCGAAGAATTACACTACTTCAATTGCTCGACACACTCGAGTATTTTTCTACTCTAATTTACACCAAAACCCAAAATTTAGGTGTAAAACTCACTGACGTACCCCGTGGTCAGAGCCCCCTTTACGTTCCTTTTGTTTAGTTAAACGGTGGCTGAGACTAGTCATTTCGGATCTTTATTTAATTGAAATTTTTCACGAAAGAAAGCTTAAAAGACCAAAGGGACTCCATTGCATTTTAGATCGCACGTGTTCACATGACCCACGTTTTAGATCTTTTAAATGCTCCATCTTCTCTTTTACTCTCCCTCTTTCCTCCGTTGCTCTCTTCTCGTCTGCATATCAACCAGCGTCACCTCACCGACGCTCGTCACATCAGCACAAAAAGTTCCGTTCACTGCATCTTCTTCTTCTTCGAATCCTCTCAGCTTCGTTCACTGCATTTTCTTCTTCTTCGAATCCTCTCAGCTTCGAGGCCCATCGTGATTGATCACACTCTAAGGTCGCCATGTCTCCCTCCATCTCCCTTTCCCTTCTCCACAATCTTGAATCTTCTCTTTCATGGCAAGATTTCTCGCTCCCGAACTTACTTATCCTCTCAAGCGTTTTCGCAATTGGTTGTTGGGCATGGCGTCGTTTCGCCAAGAAGAAAGACTCGCCGTCGCTGCCGCCGGGACCGGCGGGTCTCCCCCTCGTCGGGAACTTGCCCTTCCTCGATCCGGAGCTCCACACTTACTTCGCCACCCTCGCGATGACGTACGGCCCGGTCCTGAAGATCCAGCTTGGCAAGAAGCTCGGTGTCGTCGTGACGTCCCCGGCCACCGCCCGCGAAGTGCTGAAGGATAACGACGTCACGTTCGCCAACCGCGACGTGCCCATCGCCGGGAGGACCGCGTTCTACGGCGGGTCAGACATCGTGTGGAACCCGTACGGGCCCGAGTGGAGGATGCTCCGGAAGGTGTGCGGGCTCAAGATGCTGAGCAACCACACGCTGGACTCCGTCTACGAGCTCCGGCGGAGAGAGGTCCGGAAGACCGTGGCGTACTTACTGCTTCAGGCCGGTTCGCCGGTGAACGTTGGGGAGCAGATGTTCTTGACGGTGCTCAACGTGATCACGAGCATGTTGTGGGGCGGGACGGTGCAGGGCGAGGAGAGAGAGCGCTTGGGTGCTGATTTCAAGCAGGTCAGTGACGATGAAGATCGAATAGGATTTCTTCCTTTTTTACCATATAATATTAAGCACACTGTCGGCGTAAACAAAACTTTAAGACAAACAGGTTTTTGTCGATCCTTCGATTGAGTCTTTAAATATGCTCATCTAACCAAATGTGGATTTGGCCGTCTTCGAAAAATTATTTTCTACATTGACAATATATGCCATGACTTCTATTTTCTTGCCATCAGAAAATAACATACGACTTTAGGGTTGCGCTAAACTTACCTTTTGGACCGACTATAACTCTTCATATTAGGCTAAATTGAGTTTATAATTTATCAGTATCAGTAAAGTTCGCTCGAAAGTGCTCTTCGTGTCTATTAAGGTCGGGCAACGGGCAAGCCAGTAAGCTAGTTAGTCATCGAGATCCATGATATATTCTATTTCATATTCATATTTCAAGAATTGTCTAGTTTTCTCTTATTTAAGTTCAAAATATATATAACCCCACAAAAAATCTTAAACTTTTGTCCGCGTGCGACACCAATACCCAAACATTTACTTTTGTCTCTTTAATACCTAAAACTTGAGAAAATTATCAAATCAGTCCTAAACCTATTCTACGGCGACCAATTCAGTCCTAAACCTTTTAAGTTTGCCAATTTAGTCCTAAACCTTTGAAATTCTTGACAATTGAGTCATTCCGGCCAATTTTGGCCGGCCGGCGCTGACGTGGCCGCCGGCCGTCCGGTCAACGCTGACGTGGCAAATTTTAATTTTTTTTTTTCAATTTTTTAATCTTTTTTTTTCTTTTTCTTTTTTTTTTCTGCTTTCTCCCCTCTGGCCGGTCCGGCGACCGGCGGCCGGCCAGAGGGGAGGGCCGGCGAGGCCAAGCCTCGCTCGCCCCGTCGGCCACCGGCGAGGGGCAAGCCTCACCGTCGCGACCGTGCGACGGCGAGGCGAGGCGACGGTGAGGCGAGGTCGAGCCTCGCCGTCGCCCGGTCGCGACGGCGAGGCTGAGGTCGAGCCTCACCGTCGCCCGGGTCGCGACGGCGAGGTCGAGCCTCGCCACCGGCGAGGCGAGCTTCGCCAGAGGCCTCGCCGGCCCTCCCCTCTGGCCGGCCGCCGGTCGCCGGACCGGCCAGAGGAGAGAAAGCAGAAAAAAAAAAAAAAAAGAAAAAAAAGATGCGGCCACGTCAACGCCGGCCGGCCAAAATTGGCCGGAATGACTCAATTGTCAAGAATTTCAAAGGTTTAGGACTGAATTTGCAAACTTAAAAGGTTTAGGACTGAATTGATCACCGTACAATAGATTTAGGACTGATTTGATAATTTTTCCCCTCTCAAACTTGTATCAGTTGCCTAAAAATTATCTTCCGTTAGATTTTCGTCTTTACACGCCGTAAAAAATGCCGATGTGACAACATGCGGGGACCAGGCAAATGGATTTGAAGTGGCAATGGACATATGCTGCCTTGTCGACCAAGAGCATGGCCACATCAAATATTTAATGTTCACGCACGCTGTGACGTTAGAATTTTTAATGACCATATGGATGGGACGTATTTCTAGGTCATTATTACAAGTTCGAGAGTTTTGGTGAGTCAAAAAAAAAATTTGATTAACGGTACACCTCGGTGAAGAGTTTTAGATTTTTGGTAGAATTATCCCACTTTTCTTTTTGGCTTTTGACTTAAGTGAATATAAAAAATTGAAGATATTGATTCCATAATTTCTTTCTGAATTTTCTGACCCTCGACAGGCGGTGTCAAATCTGACAAAACTTCTTGGGAGGCCAAACATTTCGGACTTTTATCCGAGTCTGGCCCGATTCGATTTGCAAGGGATAGAGAGGCAGATGAAGGGTTTGGCGAAGCGGTTCGATGGAATATTTGAGAAGATGATCCAGCAGAGGTTGAAGATGCAGACAGAAAGCGGAAGCGAGTCATTGGACGGCGGCGAGGAGCGCAAAGATTTCTTGCGGTTTCTATTGAACTGGAAGGATGAGGAAGATGCCAAGATTCCTCTGACCCTGACTGGCCTGAAAGCTCTGCTCATGGTGAGTTTTTCTTCTTCCCCTTCTTATGTTATTGGCAAAGCTTACTTCTTTATACTTCATTCATTTGTTTTTCTAATGAGAATACATGATGTAAATCGATTCTTTGCGACGTTTTGATCTAGTAATTGAAATAGTTGAAGGTGCATAATTATTAGAGTAATCTTAATATAAGAGAGATTTTGCGCAGATCACAATGACTAGTTTGTTTAAATGATGATTTTTGGTTTGTCACATTGCTTCATAAGTTGATTATATAAACCTTTTATTTTATAAAAAAATGAACCTACGGTAATAATTAATTTTCCGTGGTTGAGCTAAATATCAAGATGCATGGGGATTGATGTTAATACCTTAAATAAGTACTCACGGTTCCTCTTTGAATTCTCTAATGTGGAAGCTTCAACCAGTGGTTGAACTCATTAATTACACATACTAGTTTAATTTCAGTGAGTAGGACTCAAAGGAACGGATGGAAATGACTCGGCAAAAGAATTAAGAGGGGCTGAATTGGTTATGTTGGGAGAGACTATAGCATTAGCAATATCCGAGTCGACTTCTTTGCCAGGGTTCATTTAGTGATAAATCGACTCGAATCTAACAATACGCAGTAATACGAATTGCCATCTTTGTTAACCCTTCAACAGTTTTTGTCTGTTGTGTGTGTAGCGTCATATTATTAAATAGTGACTCTCTCCATCCTAGCTATTTCATTCCATTGTTGTCAGTGCAGGACGACCCTTGGCTCGAATTTGCAGCGCCATTTCACTGCTAACAACTCGTAAAAGAAAATTTGATGGGGCTAGACTTTACTGCTATTTGTCATAAGTCTAATTCAACAAATAACAACATAAAGAAATAATTGAAAAACCGTAGCTTTTTACCTTTACAAAATTAGTTTCCTAATCCTAACTCTTGCTTGCTTTCAAATCTTCTTCGTGACTTCAATTTCTCTTGAGGGCGATCCATTGAAAATTACATGCAATTGAATTATTTTGACAGGACATGTTGGTTGGCGGAACGGACTCATCCTCCAACACGATCGAGTTTGCCATGGCTGAAATCATGAAGAAACCTAGCGTTCTGAGAAAAGTCCAGCAGGAATTGGACACTGTGGTCGGCGAAGACAACATAGTAGAAGAATCTCACATCCCCAAACTGCCTTACTTACAAGCTGTCATGAAAGAGTCTCTGAGATTGCACCCGCCAGTTCCACTGTTGATCCCGCACTGCCCGAGCGCGACTTGCACCGTCGGAGGCTACATGGTCCCGAAGGGCTCTCGGGTCTTCATCAACGTGTGGGCGATACACAGGGACCCTTCGATATGGAGGGACCCGCTGGAGTTCGATCCTGACAGGTTCTTGCACTGCGAGGATAATTACAATGGGCACGACTTCAATTACTTTCCTTTCGGGTCTGGGAGAAGAATGTGCGTGGGAATATTGATGGCCGAGAGGATGGTGCTGTACTCGCTCGCCACGCTCTTGCACTCCTTCGACTGGAAGCTGCCCGAGGGGGAGGAGATGGATCTGACAGAGCAGTTTGGGATCGTCATGAAGAAGAAAAAGCCTCTAATGGCTGTTCCTTTGCCGAGGTCCTCTGATCCTCGGCTTTATGAATGAGATATTAGTGTAGTGCACCATATGCACCGGTGCATCTTGGTATGGTTTGTTTATATAAGCTTATTTGTCTAGAATAAAGGAAAAAAATGCATCTACCTACCTTCATATGATTTATTAAACTTCAGTCGATGCAGTTTTATTTGACCAAGTTTATATGTCGCAATGCCAAATGTTTTTAAAGTTAATGATTAGTCACATTTCGTACTATCTATCCACTGTCCATGGAGAAATTCGCTTTTGAAATGCAATGCTGTGCATCTCTAATTCATCTATAGGATGGAAGCAACACAAATTTCACATTTGTGGGTGCACAGATGATGGTGAGCTGGATCTTTCTGTTCATTTTGTCTCCTTTTTTATCTTTTTTGCCATTTATTGCCAAGGTAGGCCTTGACATCAATACTAATAGCCCTGAAAACCCACATAAAATGTTCCTGAAGCCCAGCCCCTTATTGCACACATGATTATTGGTTTTTTATTGAGACAACGGGTGTGACTATTATGTGTTAAACTCAAGGTATTTTGCATATATTTGCGTTGACAAACTCAAAAAAACCAAATGTTGGAGCAGCAACTTTTGTTTGACTTTCATGTTAGCTCATATTAAGAGAGAAATAGAGAAACAAAAAAGCCTCTCAAATAAGAAAAAAGCTAAAGATAAATTATTTCGTAATGTAGGTCTTGACTTACAAGCTATGAGTAGACTTGATTAAGAGAGTCAATTTGTTGTCCATATCTTACATATTTTGATTAATCGTTTTGCAAGCAAAGTGGTTTGATACAAGAAAGCATTGAAGCGAGGTGACAACCTATTCAACATAGCATATAGAGGAAATACCTTAGTTCCCGTACCTTCGGCAGGATTTTTGTTTTCAATCACCGCCCTATGCTTACTTATTAACAAAGCGTCTACATCCTACAATTACTTTCATGGTTAACTAAGTGGTTAAATGCCTAATTAAGATGCGACAAATTTTATGTTTGAAGAGTAGCATCTCGCACTTAGAGCAATTTTAACATACTTATTATTTCCTGACTGGTGTTTTGCTGGAGCTCGTTGCATGTAAGAAAAGGACAATTTGCATCAGACCTAAAAAATTAGTTGAATTGAAAGTTTGAATATCATTTCATATTACGCAAACAATACTGATAATTAATGACAATTTTCCAACAATGACTTACAAGTTGGATACCAATTGATGGTCAACAATTAAGTGGTTTCCAAATGCATATTAACGCAATTATAAAAGTGAAGAAGAATGGACTTTCGGGTAATTCACATCTGGCCTGTTTCACCATTATAAAGCCTCTAGTTTGTTGCCTTTTACATCTATTTCAATTAAACATATTCATAATTATATATTGTATGGACTCCAAATTAATCTAATAAATGAAAAGAAATCAATCATTAATATATAGAAATTACTGAATTGATATTATCGATTGAGATTAGGTGATTTAAGTTTAGTAAAAGTAGCTAACTCCTCTTATTGTAAGTTTAGTTATTTTACATCTAACAATTATCCATCTTAGAATTCTGTTGAGATATGCTATAGTCTAAATGAATGTTATACCAATCCGATATTGATATTTATTTTAGTGGTATAGATAAAATCAGAATTTTGCAATGTCACAACATAACATGAGATTTAGACTATTTCTTTATACGATTTTGCTAATAAACAGCATATTAAAACAATATTACAACATGAACTTTATTAACTGTCATTTGTAAATCCTAAACTCTAAATCCTAAACCCAAAAAAAATTATTTTTTTTGAAAAAATGAATTAATTCTTATGAAGTACACATAACAAGTACTCCAGTGCATTATTATTTCAATTATTAGCGGACAAAATCAACACCGACCAATTAGATTCCACTACCTAGATCTTGGCTCTCAAATGCACATCCAATATATGTGGCCCCTCCACCAAGAAGAGGTAAGCGTAAGATGAAAGACATGCAATGTCTTTATTTATGATATTTTGAGGTTGACAAAATCATTCGTCTATATCAAATATTGGACAAATAAATATGTTGTTTTATCCCAATTGAACCATTGATAGAACCTAGACTATGAAGTGAAAGATTGATGATGGATGAAAGTGCTAGGGCTAGTGCTATCACCTAGAGGGGGGTGAATAGGTGATTTTACAAATTAAATGATTTAAACGTGCGAAATGAATATAGTTGAGGTCAACAACTCGTATGATTAATATCAAATGGATGCATATGACAAACTTATATATAAATTATCGTCAGATGATTGCGTTTGATAACTAAGACGATGTTCTGACGAACTTGTTTAACAGATATGTATGCAGTATAATATCAGCAACAATAAATAAAAGTTTAGGGATAGAGAATACTGCACACAGATCTTTATAGTGGTTCGGCTTTATCAAGCCTACGTCTACTCTCCACGCTGGCAGTCTGTTGGCTGTGTTTCACTATTAAATCACCAGAAGATTACAAGAGTAGTGTTGCTCAGATGATAGACTACACTATCACGTACACTCTTCACTCAAGTAATTTTCTTTCTATAAACACAACGTGGAAAACAGTAATCACAAGTGTGTAAGATTGAAACTCTATTCAGACTTTGGAATTCTTGATTCTGGTTTTTATTTCTTGTACGACGTTTACACTCCTTTTATACTCCTCTACTTTCAATCTATCCGTTGGACAGTCTTCAGAGGATTGATCTCCAAATCAACCCGTTGGAGATTCTTCCCAAAATAGGATACATAGCCGTTAGAAAAAGAACCATTATCTCCGAGTGATTTGATCGCCCATACAATCAAATCAAGGTTTCCATAAGTGTAGTTCTTCGTATTTGAGGAACGATCTTGTGATTACCAATTTGGATATTTTAAAATATCAATTTGATTATCCTACATAAACTTGCCAAAAATAACACTCATTGAGTCTGACGAGTAATTTTGAGTCTGATGACAAAGTCCTTTCATCAACTAAGTTTGATGACTCAGTATTTACCTGCATCAAATAACTTAAGTGTAATTCTGGTCAGTAATAGATTGTTTTGTCATTCCTCAAAACTCATTAGGGATTTTGCTCAACAGAAAGGATTTTAATGGAGGTGAACAAGTCAGAGAACGGGAAGTTCATGAGGATTTGAAGGTACTGAAACAAGGTGAACAACCCACAAATTGTAATCATTTTTAGGAAGATAAAGTGGAAAGCAGTATGTAAATGAACCACAGGCAGGAAGCCTTGATAGACTTATGCTTTGCTTATAGAAGCAGATCCCTATATCACCTAAGAAGAATGTGCGTATTATATGAATACACTTTATGATTTGAAAACCTAGATATTCCGTTAACTATCAACCTAAGTCTCAAGAAATATTGATAGCAAGCCACAGGCTTGAAGCACAAAAAATTGACACGCAAAGGAGAATCCAATCGGTTGTCAATCAAATTGCTAGCAAGGATTATTTGTTAATATAGGCAACCCTATTCATGAAAATTACACTATTGCCAAGAATATTTGATTGTATGAATGACCAGATCTCTCGGTGATCGTGTCATTCATCTTCAACGGTTAAAGTGATCCTCTCGAAGATTATCCAACCGTTGACGTGGACTTCAAAGACTATATAAGAAGATCAACACATGCTGAAGAATATACAAATTATGAGAACGACTACAAACTGAGAAAGCTTTACTCCTTTGATACACTTATACTCTTGTTGATCGAGAAGTTCATTTACTAAGAGTGATTCACTTATTGTAATCTCCTTTGAGAAGTGTACTAGTGTCGTAGTAGTGCTTGGGATTCGACAGTGTGATCTACCAGCTTTAGGTAGAAGCAACACGGGCTACGTTGTAACCTCTCAAAGAATTACTAGTGGAATCTAATATGTTGGCAGTTAGTCTGGAAAAATGGCATAGGCTTGTCTGAGATGAATGACTCTAAGATTTGTGTGTAACTCTTCTATCTCTCTCTATTTATTTCCATACTTGTTTGATAGAAGCATACTACACTTGGTATTATCAACTTCCTCTTGCATATATTTATTTACACCGTTAAAGTCCACGTGTAATTTCACTTGTCTAACTCTCTTGTTTTTTCTTTGACTTTTTCTCTCCCCTCACCTTCGTCCAAGTCGCACATCATTTAACTGTTAGAACTCTCTCTCCTCTCTCTCTCTCCACTGAACCCAAAGCAAAGGTCCACAAAAAAACTTCATTTTCTTCTTCAGCATCTAGAGGAGCTTGAGCCTGTGAATCAGACAGTGATCTGCACCTTATATGAGGCCCTTCATTTCTGCGACTGCGACGCCATCCTCCGCATCCTCGCCCCCAACCTTGAGTGCTGTTTCTATCCTCCCCGTCCCCCCCCCCCCCAACACGTCGGATGACACCTTCCTCTTTGCATCCGACTTCGTCACCTGCCTCAGCCCTACAGTGCTCGCCGAGGGCTTCGACCCAATCCGGTCCATCTTGTGGGTCAACACATGGACGGTCTCTACTAGTGGGATGGTCACCAAGGTGAGGGAGTACTTCAACACCTTGCTCACCATCACACAATTCAGCGACTCCCACCGTCGGATCTACGACGGCCAAGATCGCCTTCCTGCATGATTGCCAATCATTATGGGAGAGCAGCGTATATAGCCGGATCAAAAAGTCCATGCCTGGTATAGTTCTCGTCGGGCCGCGATCTTATTGGTGGCGGCATTAATGCCCTTGGAGATGTGGTCCTCGTTGGTGGGGACAACTTTGTCGTTGATCTCGAGGTACAACTCAGGGTGATCGGCATATGGGTTGTCTTGGAGTCGCATGATGAGGGACATTTGTGTGCAAATGCCCTGCCCCACAGCAGGTTGATGCCAGCAAGCGACTCGAGGACGCTGTAAGATCGAAACTGCGATATTGCGCAATTCAAAACGGGAAATTTCCTATTTGAATTATGCCTAAAATCTCACACCAAATTGTGTTAGAATCGTAACTCAATTAGCTGGGGCTAGTATCTAACAATACAATCTAGAGGGGAGATGAATAGGTTATTTGAGAACTATAAAAAAACATTTACGGAAGATAACAAATTCAACTATGAACATTGCCGAAAACTGAATATAGAAATCAGGTGCATGTGCTGATGTTTAACATATGGTAATGATTACAAGCAATTAATGCTAATAGTGAAAAGATAGAAGATATTGCAAGTAGATTTATAGTAATTCGACTTTATCTCCAAGCCTACGTCCACTCTCAAACTTAACAGACACAATAAGACTAGCATCCACTAGTAATCTTCTAGACAAGTTACAATCAACAAGTATCATCTTTCCAATGGATCACACTATCAAGACTCATATACTGCTATCACTCTTGTACACTTGCTCTAGTCACTAATTACAAACATTAGCACGACCTAAGCATTGACATTAGGAATACACAGCTAATATCAACAAAAACATAGCAAAAAAGACACTCAAAGCACATGACTTGTTTGTTCGTTTCCACCCAAGCCAATTACTTTTCTTGGACTCAATATATAGCCATCCATTCCCATATGATTTGTCACTAATGTACCAATTTGAGATTTTTTATGGTAAAAAAATTAGTTTTAGGTAAATTTGTCACATGAGTACTACTTTAGGATTTTTGGTGGTCAAAAAATTAATTTTGGGTAAATTTGTCATAAGTGTTCTAATTTAGGATTTTTCGAGGTATTAACCCTTAATATATAGAAAATACTTGAGGGATTTATTCGATTTATTCTATTGGAACCGTCATTCAATTATCCATCTCGGAATTTGATTGAAAATGTTTTTTTAGTCTAAATAAATGTTAAACCAGTCCGACAATGATATTTGTTTTAGTGGCATAAATAAAATCAAAATACTTGTATAGTCAAGGCATAGCACAATATTTCAACTATTATATATGGTTTTGCTAACGAGTATTATCAAAACAGTTACTAGACAACAATTTAAAAAAAAAACCAATTCAGTTTTTAATCTATTGTTCTTTCATTGTAAAGAGTGTACCTTTCTTTTGGAAGATTAAAATGATTCTTGTGAATTAGATGTGACGAGTATTTCGGGCCACTCGTTATCCTATTATTATCCGACAAATTAAATCAACACGACCAATTAGATTCCGCAACCCAAGTCTTGGCTCTGAAATGCACATCCAATCCTTGTCTTGATGCAAGCATGTGTAACCTCCCTTGGTTCCACCTCCACCGAGTAGAGGCAAGAGCAAAAGCAAGGGCATGCAATGCACCAATTATTGTCCTCGAACACATACACATACGAACAGATAATAAATACAAAAACTATCGCCGAAAGCTCTGTTTAGTCAACTCATTGAGAATAATCGACTGTTCTTTTTTATTCACTTTCTCGGTAAGTATCAACCAACTAATTTAGTAAAATTCGTAACTGTTCAGTAATTTCTTGACATGAAGGTAATTTTTCATTAAATTAATTACGTGTAAGTTATTGAAAATTACTCACTTTTCACGAAAATTTTAAATCACGACAACAGATTCTTAGTAATTTGAATTTGTTTGATGGTATAATTCTCTTGTTACCTCTTAAATGAATGGCCAAATTGATTCAATAAAACATATCGGTGCAAATGGGCTCGGGAGAATCTAATTTGTCGGAGAGAAAGTCAGCATCAAATCATCAATAGTTGTAAATCATCGAAACTTGTCATTGAAGACCTTTTCTATAATGTTTAGAAAGAGAGAGATATTTTTAGGAACTCTTGAAATACGACTCAACCGTCCATCCATAGGAATCTTGTATTTTTTTCTAAATAAATATATCTTCACTGAAGAGCGGCAACATTTTGCTAAAGTACATGATGGAGTACATGAAATTCCATATAAATTTTTGCCGATAATTTGATTGATGTGAATTTTTATTATATTATAGTTTTATGCATATTATTTCGCTTGCGAAAGCTTAAGCCGATGCCAACATTAAGAATAATCTAACAAATGTAATTTATCCAATGCACGACAACTTGCTACTAAGGGTGCGCATGGTAATGATTCTATGCCCGGGAACTGATTCTGCTCAGAAATGATTTTTTTTTATTCAGTGCCCGGAAACAATTTCTAAGCATTTGAAGGCGTTTAGTAACTGCCCAAAATTTATATTCTTAGAATAGAAAAGAACGTAAATACATTTGGTAACTACACAAAATTTCATTTTATTAATAATATTTTAATAATATTTTGAATTTTTTAATATTTATTTCTTTTTTCTGTTTTCTTTTCCTTTTTTTTCTTTTTTTCTCTTTTTTTTCTTTTCTTTCCCTTCTCTTCCTTAGCCATGACCGGTTGTCAGCGCCGGTGACCGGCCATAGGCCAAGGCCGGCGAGGATGTCTAGGCCCCCGCCGTCGGCCTCTGGGTGGCGACAGTGAGGTCAGCCTCGCCTTGGCTGGGCAAGGTCTCATCGTCGTGGCCGCGAGCCGCCCTCGCCGGCCACTGGTGAGGGCCACGACGTCCTCGCCGACACTGGCCTGTGGCCGGCGGGTGGCGGGTGGCAAGCCGAAGAACAACAACAAACCAAAAAAAAGAAGAAAACCAAGAAGAATCAGAAATGGAAAAATTGTTCCAGAATCAAGAAGCTACTTTTTTTTGCTTCTTGATTATGTTTCAAAACTGATTTTGGGAACAATTTTTTGCAAAATTGTGCCCGGGCACAAAAAAATTAACAAACGAATTTCTATTCCCAAACTGATTCTGGGAATAAAAGAACATAAATTTTTACTATTTGGCAAGTTGTCAAACGGGCCCTAAATATCTAGAAAAGATCAAACGGTTGTACAATCTATGCAGGTGTGCCACCTTAAAAGCTATCCTTTCTATTCTGTGGCTCTCCTTGAGCTTGAACTAAATGACACCGTACTCAACATCTAATTATAGAGATCTCGACATCGGTCGCATCCCTCGTGATATTTAGGCAGCGAATGACAACTATTCTGTTTCAGAAATCAATTTCTGTTCTTGGACGAGTTTCTGAAAAAAAAAAAAAAACACGTTTGATAATGACACAAAATTTCTGTTTTCAAAACAAAAATTTATTTGATAACGGCATAAAATTTCTCCCTTTCGAGTGGCCGGCGAGTGGACGGCGAGCGGATGGCGGCGGCAAACGGCGACGCAGCCACTGCGGAGGACGGCGACCGGCGACAGGAGGAGGGCAGCTGGCGGCGGGAGACGGTGGCCGGTGGACGGTGGGCGACAACCCACGGCGGCCGGTGGACAGCGGGCGACAACCCACGGCGGCCGGCGGGGGGAGGCGGGCGGTGGCGGGAGGAGGGTGGCCAGCGGTGGCCAGTGGACGGCAGGTGGCGGCCCACGGCGACTGGCGATGGGAGGCAGGCGGCGATCGGAGGCAGGCTGAGACAAGAGGAGGGTGAGCGGGGGTGGGAGATGGTGGGCGATGGACGGCGAGCGGCGACCCACGACGGCCAGCGATGGGAGGCGGGAGGAGGGCGGCCACCGGCGGGAGACAGTGGCTGGTGGACGGCGGCAGCCCACGGTGGGAGATGGCGAATGGCGGGAGGCAGTGGCCGTGGGCGGCGATGGGCGGCGGGTGGGCGATCGGCTAGTAGCGAGGGCGAGCGATGAGAAGAATTTTAACTTCTCATTTCTGTTTTAAAATTAGAAAAGTAAAAAATTTTAAGTTCTGGTATATGTTCCAAACCTATTTCTGGAATAAAAATTTATTTCAGAAATAGAAAATGAAAATACGTTACCAAACGGATTTCTGTTCCAAATTTATTTCTGGAACAGAAATAGAGAAACAGAATGGTTATCATTCGTAGCCTTACTTTATCCGTGCATATCTATGTTCAATTCAGACCATAGAAACCATAAAGATCATCATGGAATCTCCAAAACTAAATAAATGAGAAATCCTTTTGGCAAATAAAAAACTGGACCGTTCGGGTCATTTTCGTTCAGACGATAATTGTTCGGATGTCACTGTGGGCAACTTGTACAACTGACTTTCCTATTAAAACTGTCCTAGGAAGAACTTCTTTACGTAGTGTGGCTAGAAACACATCCTCATTCTTGCTCAACGACTCCTCAAACCGTTCTCACAAGCCGAAATGCCGAACGGAGACTCCGAATGCGCCTGGCCGTGGTTGTGGCGTGCTAAAGAAGCGAGCGATGCAATTCCAAGAGCTGCTATGACACTGCTTGTCATAGCAATCGCAGCTCTTAGTTTTTTTTATCTGTTCAGGAGGCGAAAAATTGGGACGGCTCAATTGCCGCCAGGGCCTCGAGGCGTGCCGTTCCTCGGGTACCTCCCATTCCTTGGGACTGATCTCCACCAGAAATTTGCCGAATTGGCCAAGAATTATGGCCCCATCTACAAACTCCAGCTCGGAAGCAAGTTGTACGTCGTGGTTAGCTCCCCTTCCCTGGCCAAAGAAATCGTGCGGGACCAGGACAGGACGTTCGCCAATCGGGACCCTAACATCGCCGCTACCATCATGTCATACGGCGGAAGGGACATTGTCTTCTCAAGCCAGGGGCCTTATTGGAGGAATCTCCGCAAAATGTTCGTACGGCAGATAATGAGCAACGCGAGCCTCAACGCCTGTTACAATTTGAGAAGGCAGGAGGTCAGGAAAGCTCTGAGCGATCTGTATAGAAAACCCGGGATGCCGGTTGATGTCGGTGAATTGGCCCTTCTGATCTTGATTAACGCGGTGATGGCGATGCTGTGGGGAGGGACACTTAAGAAAGAGAAGCACGAAGCCTTGGGCGCCGAGTTTCGAAAGGTGGTGGCTAAATTCATGGTGCTCTTAGGTAGTCCGAATGTTTCAGACTTTTTCCCGGCACTCGCTTGGCTTGACCTGCAAGGAGTGGAAAGGGACGTGAAAAGGGTGCATCAGTGGATCGATGATTTTATTCAGTCTGTTATCGATTGCGCCACCACCGCAGGAAGAACGAATGAACTGTTCGAGCAGAAGGAAGAAGAACCTAAAAGCAATGAACAACAAAAGGACTTCTTGCAGATTTTCCTGGACATGGAGATGGATCTTGAAGATAATCAGTCATTTATGGACAAGAATAGAGCACTCAAAGCCATTCTTACGGTAAGTTTGTTAAGCTAGGTGACTTTTTCTAGTATGAATATACATGACCGTTAGACAACCTGATGCACACAAAATCGTGAATTCTCAATCTGCAACTCCGTTCTTAATTTCTTGATTTCAGTCCTCATATTGGCTGCCAAGTGCCACATTTAATCCTGAGCTATTGTTCAGCGATTATTAACAGAGTATTGTGCTCGTTTTAGAATTAATATTAGGAAAACGTTATCATAATTTTAACGCGCATCATATACTCGGGAAAAGTGTCGGAAAAGTCATAAACATATTGCACTGGTGTCAATTAAAAGTCCTAAACCTTTCGATAGTGCCAATTTAGTCCTAAACTTTTTTACCTAGAGCCAATTCAGTCCTTCCGGCTAATTTTGGTCGGATATTGCTAACATGGACATCGGCCGGCCTACATAGCACAAACAGCATTGACGCAGACATCTTTTTAATAATATTTTAATTTTTTTTCTTTCTTTTTTCCCTCCTCTTGCTTCCGATGGCTGGCATGGCCATGGTCGGCGAGGGTTGGCCTCGGCTGAGCGATCGGCCAAAGGCGAGGGACAGCAAAGGCGAGCCTTGCTAGTGGCCAGCTAGGCTAGCAAAGTCACGCCTCGCCCAAACACTAGTGAGGCTCAACCCTCACCAGATTTGGCGAGGGCAAGCCACACTAGTGGTTGGGCAAGGCACGACCTTGCCAGATCTAGCGAGGTCAACCTCGTTGGCCCTCGCCTTTGGCCGGTCCCGGCCAGAGGAAGAAGGAAGGGAAGGAAAAGAAAGACAAAGAAAAGAAAAAATAAAAAAAATCGAAAAAATATTAAGATATTATGAAAAGTTGTCAACATCAGTGTCGGTCATGCCACATAGGCCAGCCAGCTCCACGTCAGCAATATCCGGCCAAAACTAATCGAAAGGACTGAATTAGCTCTAAGTCAAAAGGTTTAGAACTAAATTGACACCATTAAAAAGTTTAAAATTACATTGGCACCAATGTAATAAATCTAAGACTTTTCTAACACTTTTCCCTCGTATACGCGATAGGATAAGTTGAAATTACACAAAAATTTGTCAATCATTTTGTGCCAATTCTCCTGGGTATGCTTGTCATATCTTGATTGATTCTCTTTCCATACTTCTCTTGTTTCACGTCCTATCATCCAACTGGGCCGTGTCCAACTCCTCCGTAAAGCCCCGTATCTTGACTTTCAGGTTGACTCTTTTCTATTAGTATTAAGGTGCTTCATGAACGACGCAACTTTATCAAACATAACAGCATTCTGGTCTTTCTGATGAAACTTTGAATGTTTGAATAGGACATCGTGATTGGCGGAACCGATACAACGTCAACAATGATCGAATGGGTGATGGCAGAGTTGCTGCAGAACCGGAATGTGATGGACAAAGTAGCGGAGGAATTGACAGAAGTTGTGGGCGTGGATAAGATGGTCGAAGAGCAGCACTTGCCCAACTTAAAATACCTCGACGCCGTCATTAAGGAGGTATTTCGCTTGCACCCGGCGCTGCCCTTGTTGGTACCTCGGAGCCCGCATGCTTCCTGCGTCGTCGGGGGTTACACAATACCGAAGGGCAGTAACATATTCCTGAACGTGGGGTCTATCCACAGGGACCCCACGATTTGGGACAAACCCTCGGAGTTTAGACCCGAGAGGTTCTTGGAAGATCCTGGCAAGTATGATCTCTCGGGCAACAACTTCACATACATGCCCTTCGGTTCCGGTCGGAGGATATGTGCGGGGCTTGCGCTGGCAGAGAGGATGCTAATGTTTACTTTGGCCTCCCTTTTGCATTCGTTCAAGTGGGAATTACCGCAAGGGGCGGAGCTGGAACTGTCGGACAAGTTCGGGATTGTGGTCAAGAAGATGAATCCCCTGGTTGCCATTCCCAGGCCGAGATTGTCCACTCCGGAGCTCTACATGTCAAGTTAGATCTTTCGTTAGAGTCTCCTCAAGACTCTTCATTTCGATTCTGCAAAATAAAAGTATCCTGCATGTGTGTTAGATGTAGGAGAAAGGATTCCTGTTGTCTATCTGTTCTTCAGATTAGTCGGACCAGAAGATGAAGTCATGTGATGTAGGCGCAAAAAGTTTGGGGTCTTGTAGAAAGGCCCATGCACGCATAGTGAGCTAGGGCTTTTGGATGAAGCGCGGGGCTCCTTCTGTTTTGTTGTATTAGAACCAGATATGACTTTTCCGTACGGTGTAATTTTCTAATTAGAATTGAATTCTAGTTTCTCCCTCTATTCCTTCCATAGCTTTGAAAGCTCACGCACAAAAGAAAATGCAGACTTTCCTAATTCAAGTGCTACATAACGAGGTTTAGTATCTCGTGACATTAACCATTTAGCTAAACTGATTTGTCAAAATTACAGTTAGTTATACCATTAAAGTTGACATTTGACCCTCATCGGACAGCTTCCGGATAACAGATATAATCTTCCGCAATATATATGCCTTAGCACTACGCTTGTGTTCAATCGGCCGGCCGGGCCTCGTGCCAAGCCTAAAAGAATTTCGCCTTCATCAATCATGTTCAGAGCATGTTCTCAGCCAGACAACGTTACTTTGCATGGTTTTGTTGCGGGCCATGTGGGCTAAAACATTGCCCAGAAAAATATTTGTGCTGCTTTGGTTGGGACATTCTTTAGATCAGTTCGACCAGAAGATGAAGTCGTGATCTAAGAGCAAATTAACCTTTGGGCTCTCTGCTCAAGTTTTCTCCTACTTCAGAATGCACGAGGAGTTCATGAGTTCTCTTTTTTTTTCTTGCGCTGGAAGGATATAGATTCGATCGACTACTGAGTGCATACGACCACTTCATCAATTATCCGGCATTAAGGAATCAACACATGACTGCTTGATCGAAGGAGGAGGTTCCAAAGCCGAACTTCCACAGCACGCATTTCTCTAGCTTCAGCGAAGAGGTTACATAGAGGGTGGATTATTAGCGCCTTTGATATGTACAGCGAGTACTGAAGCACAAGGTCCTTCAGTACAGAATAACTTGACTCCACGAGTCAAGCGGAAGCAGCGGGGTTGCACACCGGCAGGTCCTTCTCCGTGTTGGGCGGGATCCGGAGAATGGGGTTGCTCTCGAAGAAGTTGACCGGTTTCAGATCAAAACTGGCCGACACCGTGGGCATGATCGGGAAGTCCTCCTGACACGGAATGTGATGGAAGCCCAGTGTGTACCACACCACGATGTCCTTGTTCTCGATCGGCCGATCCCTGCAATTGAACAACAATTCCAGTAAAGTGCAGGTTGCAGAATCTAAGGCCAGTTGGCCTGGGCTCGTCCCGAGGCCACCAGGTCGAATCACACATGGTCTAGCCGAAATAAGAATTTCACTTGAATGCGTGCATAGCAAATGCTAGATCGCACCTGTTCGACCACTCAGCAAGAGTGTCCTCGCCCTGGCTCTGGTAAGTGAACAGCCCGCCCGCCCATTGCTCGGTCCGGTTATAGGGGGTGACCCATATTTGGTTGTTCGTGAACGCTGCCCGCTTCTGAGGCGGGTCGTCGTGAGCAAGCAGGCTAGCCGCGGTTCCCGCGGGGACAACCTTGTACCCCACGGGGTTCCCGACCCGCGTCTTCTTGTTCGAGTTGACGACGTGGAATTCGGATGGATCGTAGAGCTTGAGCTTCACTTGCGCGTCCTTCTCGGTCTTGGCCACATTCCGCACCGCTTTCAGGTAGCTCCTCCGGGGCGACTCCCCGGGGGAAGTCTCCTGCTTCCGGATGTTCACGTTCACGAAGGAATTGTCGGTGCCGTCGACGTCCATGTCGAGATGGAACGTGACGTAGTGGTCGTGGATGACGCCGATGACATTTTCCGAGAGGATCGTGCCGTAGAGGTCCTCTTGCCCCGGTACGTCATTGACGTTGGAATAGGAGCTGCCTTTCACCATCAGGATACCGCTGAGCCCGACCTGCATTTAGGTCATGCAGAAAGACTTACAAAATTCATCTCTCCAAAAGTCCAATGTGCACAGATTCCACATATCACAAGGAGGGTAAGCGTCAGTGTTGAAGGTTTAATTGTCAAAGGATATTCGAGATTTGTGCGTACTAAGAGACAAAAGCATAAATTGGTGACGATGCACGCATTCGAAGCTATGCATTTCGAGAAAACACCATTTCGTCTGTGCAAATATCTCTTGCGGGAATCAAATAGTCATCGCCGCATGTCCTTTCAAGTCATTTTCAGGACACCAACTTAAGTTGAAACGTATGCATTTGAATAGCCAATATGTCTCGATCTTTGCTAGTTTCAGCGGAAAAATCTCATTTTCCGCGGTGAGGTGGACCCACATTACGATTTTCCTGAACCTATAACCAAACATGATCACGAATTTGGCGGCTTGATAAGCCTGATTAGCCTGCTCATCGAATAAATCGACTAGGCGGATCATCTTGGACCTAATAATAAAGGTTGCACCTTGTAAAATATTGTCGCTTTAGTTACTTTAGGCACTTTATAAAAGCCTATTCTAACTTTCTAACACAGCTCAAAACAGGCAGTTCACCAAAAAAATTTAAAAAGAAGAAGGGAAAAAAGGTATTGGAAAATTGGTATATTCAAAGTGGGCCCAAGGCAGGATGCAAAGTAGGAAGAATCACTAACCTTGACTTTGATTAGCCCATCTGCTTGGAACTCCCAATCCACGATGTAATCATAGTTCGCCACTGACGCTGCCATTCTAACCACTAATGTCACTTTTGGCCTCACTTCCCTTATCTGCACATGTACCACCCAAAAAAAAAAGCAGAACAAAAAATCAAAATCGAGCACCAAATATCACCGGATTACAAGCGATTGACTACTGATGGTAGAACTTCATCATGTGATTATGTATCTATAATTACTTCATTATTGTTTTTGTAATGACGGGTCATTGGCCCGGAACCCCTTACCTCCATGCCCGTGATCGGGCTCTCGGAGTGCCTCCACCCGATGTCGCCCCCGTAGCTCTCGTATATGCACACCATGTCGGACCTCACGTAGGGCGTCCCGTCGCCCGCCGCGAACACGCCGTCCATGAAGTAGGCGTTCCTCGGGCAGTCGTTGAGCGGGTCGAGCGGCATGGCCTGGAGCCCGAACCCGTACTCGCCCGCGTCCATGTACGTCTTGAAGTACCACGCGTCGGTCGGGTCCATGTAAGGGACGAACAGCTCCGACGTGAACCCCTTGTACATGACGTCCCTCAGCTCGCCGGTGTCCGGGTCCCGGACCCGGGCCCGAGAGATGATCACTCCGGCTCTCGGGTCGGGCTTGACGTGTAATTCCCAGTTCGCCCACTTCACGAAATGCTCGTCCTCGACGGTGAAACTCGGGCCTTTCGGCTGCTCGATGGAGATCGGGTTGATGATGCGATAAGCCTGCTGGTTCCGATCGAATTGCGAGAACCGGTAATCGGTGTTGGCTGCGCTCGGGATCGGTATGTCGCGGCCTTTGTCCGTGATCTCAACCACGCGCTTCGTGTCCAAGTCGAGCAGAACGGTCAGCCCCTCGATCGGTCGCATGTAGAAATTGGCCGTGTCCTTGGTGGAGTAGCACTGGACTTTGATCAGCCTCCGGCTCTCCTCGGCCCGGCCGAACCAGCCGGCCGAGATCGGCAGGCACGCGAGGTCAGCCAGGTCGACCCCGCGGGCCACCACCGTGCGGTTGAACTCCGGGTCCGCGAGCGGGGCCAACGTGGCCGATGTCATGTCCTCCATGGTCATCGTCGGGTAGCCGGAGAGGGGCCCGGCCCCCTGCGCGGTCACGTGGCCGCTGTCGAGGTCGACGGCCAGCAGGTGCGACTCCCCGGCGACGCGCGCGACGACGGAGGCCTTCCGGGGGATGGGGTCGCCCTTCCGCCAGGCGAGGACGGAGGGCTTGTCGGGCTCCTCGAGGACGACGGAGTGGAGGGCGTAGGGGGCACGGTTGGCGAAGAGCGGGTGGGAGAGGAGGAGGGTGCGGACGCGGTTGAGCTCATGGACGGTGAGGGGGTCGAGGGGGTGTCGCGGGGCGTCGAAGATGTGGGAGTGGCGGCGGGGGCGGGGGCGGGGCACGGGGTCCTTGAGGTCGGTGGCGGGCTGCCTTTGCCTGGGCCCGAAGCGGTTCTTGGAGGAGGTGCACCAGGGGGAGCTGGCGTCGCAGTCGAGGAGGTCCGCCGTGTCCGGCAGCGGGGACGGGAGGTTGACCCACGTGAAGAGGAGGAGGAGGCCTACGCTGAAGAACAGTAGCATCAGCCGGAGGGACTGCCTCGCCTCCATCCCCCCTCTCTCTCTCTCTCTCTCTCTCTTTCAGAGGGCGAGTGTTTGGAGGAGGACTGAACTTCTCAACTTTCCCAAGAGATGGTGCAGATAAATGGAAATTGCTGAGTGGTTTGGCTCTTGAATACAGTGACAAATTTTATAAAAGAAAAGAAAGAAATTACAGGAGAAAAAATAAGAAGGGAAAGCAAAAAACAACTATATGAAACGTGTGGAACCGAAAGAGAATTCAAGCACGACCTCGAACGAAACGGTTGAAATGACGATTGTTCATCTCGATCGATAGAGATTTTCACGTAATACATAGGTTGTGTGCGCCCATTCCTTTTGCAGTTCTTTTTAACGTCGTGGTCGAATTGGATTTTGCGGCGGATTTTGCGAGCTAGACATCTACATAGGAAGTTTGTGCAACACGTGCGGTCAACATGTCTTACTTTGGTGACAAATCAGTATAGCATACGGTACACAAATCCAAGATTTACATGTATATACACGAAGAAAAATGCCCAAGTTAAGACAAAGGAAAGACCATACGGGTATAAGAATACAAATGATGATAGAAGATCCTCGTTCCAAATTTAGGCAGCCCCTCCCCCCTTGTTTCTTTTGCCCCCTTTATATAGTGCATAAATGGCGTATTGATTAGCAAACAAACCATCGTGTACATGTAGAATAAAGGTAGTGTATTCGGCTCATTAGATGGGAAGAGAAAGTAAGGGTTGAGTGCAAAATTATATCGTTGTGATTGAGCGCATATATGTACATCAAAACTACCCATATATGTTGGAGATGCACGTCAGAAGCTCGATATCATCACTTAGGGAAATCGCTAAGAGGAAACTCAAGTCCGAGCCCATCAACAGATTTAGTTGGACTCGTAGCTTTAGAAGTGGATTTTGTTATTGCTCGCGGATAGCATTTTCCTTATCCAGGCAAGCCAATGACGTTAGTGTGTGATATTTGCTCCGGATATGCTCTTAAAACAGCGCTATCCAGCCACCTACTACTTATCAAGATTCCCTAGTGTTTTTTTTAACTAAGTGTCAAGATCCAATTGAACGGGGTTTGCTTAGATGACTAGGAAACACTAACCAAATAAAGGGTGTGTATCTATCGATTTCTTACGCAAGCATCAACTTGGACAGCAGCACTAGCATGGGCAATCAGCACCAATCAATCTACAAAGATAGAATTGATTAATATGTACATGGGGGAAAGCAAAGTCCGGGGATCATATTATAATAACATCTTGAGCTGGGTCATGGATTGGCTTTAGGAGTATCAAATGAATCATGACCCTATTTGGGTCCCCACGATTCGTGACAGTATTCTTTAACCCTATATGCCCACTGATTTCCCCGCTACGAGGAAGATGACAATGCTGTCGATTCTCGATCGATGAGGAAGATGACAAGAATCTGGTGCAACTCCAACATGGACCTGTGAACTTTCTTTGGGGGGAAAAGGCTAAGAGACGTGACGAAAGACACTGACTATGGGTCCAAGAAACTAATTATCTTTGTGCCTTTTTTCATAAAATTGTAAAGTGCAGTGCATCTTTGTGCGCGCGTGGGTTCTCACCCCAATATCTTTGAATATTCCGGTGGATGGTGCTTCTGGCCTAATTGCCTAAAAAATCCCAAACTTTAGTTATAGTCCCAAATCTGCCCTAAACTTTTTTTTTGTCTCATAAAAAGTCACAAACTTTCATTTTAAATCCAAATCTGCCCTAGGGTAATTTTCTGTCCAAATGTTGACAAATTTTTTCCAACTTGTCATCCACGTGTCATCTTCTTTTTCCACGTCAGCTCGGGTTGACATTTTCTTTCTTTCTTTTTTGTTTTTTCATTCTCTTCTCCCTTTCACTTTCCGCCATGGACAACGAGAGCACCATCATGAACACAGAGGAAGCCCAGGTGCTACCACACGCCGGTCACCGCCGCAACAGCTTGAGTGTGCGTTGCCACGACTTCCTCGTCACCTCGTCATTGTTGTAAGCCCAGATGCTTCCGTTAGCCGAGCCTCCACCCCCTCTATTTGTCGGTGGATAGTCGAATTTGGGATTGGGACGTCGGATCCAACGCCGCCTAGCCTAGATTCGGAGTCGCTGGCCTTGGGCGACCCTGGATCTTGTGTCGCCGGCAGTCTCCCAAGGCTGGCGACACCATCGTCGCTTTCAATCTTCACATTGCAACCTCTCCGTCTGTCTCTGCGTTGGTCAGTCATTTGGGCCAAAATCTTCCCTTTTCTCTGCTTCTGATGAAACTCTAGGACTAAAATGGCGACCAGAGGCAGCAGATCGGAGAAGGTGAGGCGATTTTTCCAGCATTTGACGAGAACCGTGATGGAGGGCTCAACAGGGAGGAAATGGCCACGCTCGCAGTGGCCGTGAGCCCGAGGGTCAAGTTCAAGACCTAGGGCGAGTGCATTGACGGCGAGAAGGGGCTCACCTATGAGGGCTTGTTGAGGACCTACGATAATGGCACCAGCGACGTGGACCGTGACTTCAACGTGCTGGGCCTCGAGCTCAATTCCGACGACGCCAAGAACAAGGAAGTGAGGTCGGGTTTGGACAAGGTGTCGTCGTCGATTGCTAACTAGAGGGCAATGGAGATGCAGAAGAAGCAGAGGACAGCAACTTGGGCTGGTGTCGCTTAACCATGGGATGGTGTTCAACCATACTTGGAAGAATGCGGACGATTTGGAGATCTAGGTGAAGAGGTTGAAGGCGAAGGATGAGAAGCTGAAGCTGATAATTTAGACACCATGTTGTCCATGGCGGAAAGTGCAAGGGAGAAGAGAATGAAAAAACAAAAAAGAAAGAAAGAAAATGTCAACCCGAGCTGATGTGGAAAAAGAAGATGACACGTGGATGACAAGTTGGAAAAAATTTGTCAACATTTGGACAGAAAATTAACCTAGGGCAGATTTGGATTTGAAATGAAAGTTTGTGATTTTTTATGAAACAAAAAAAAGTTTAGGGCAGATTTGAGATTACAACTAAAGTTTTAGATTTTTTAGGGAATTATGCCCTTACTTTTGATGCTGCCCCAAAGAAGGACAATTATGTCAGCTTTAGAGTTTGTTTCGTTTGGTTTTCCATTTGTGTATATGGGTGCCTTTATGGGGAGAAAACTTAGAAAAAGCGAATTGAAAGAAGAGGGACTTACTCTTCGTTATAATTATGAATTCATAGATCATTGTATGTGAGCAAAACGAGACATGCATCTTCAATTTACATGTCTCTTTAGTTCGTATGTATTTGTTGAATCTCTTATGTTCATGAATCTCTTCAATGCATGTATCTATTAAATTCATGTATCTCTTTAGTTCATGTATCTTTTTAGTTCATGTGTCTATTCAGTCCATATCCATTCAAACTATATAAACGGACCTGAACTATTCTTCGTTCTAGAGAAGATGGAATGTATGGAGTATAGAGAGTATAGAGAATAGAGAAAAAGTTCTCTTCAATTTTTTTCTCTAAGTGCACCTGTTCGAGTAATGTCGGACAGAATCCGTGTTAATTCAAATGGGTTCGAGGTGTTGTATCTTGGGAGACATAATTCGTGAAACTGCTTAGTACTGTTAGGAGGAACTAATCACCTAAGGAGATTCGATTAGCCGTATATCACCTCCTATTTTATTTTGTTACATTTTATAGCAATGTTGCTCGTCCATATTTGTTTTGTATTAATGTACTCTTCACTTGTGAGAAGATTGATTCAATATATTCACTCATTGACTTGGTTATTGTTAATCTGTTATCGCTTTCTTGGTTTTATTATTTTCTGTCTAATTTTTGTGATTACAACAAATAGTATTGCGCTATATCCAACCCTCGTTCTTGGCAATTGGCTAGAATGGGTCGAGAATAGACTTGAACGATTGAGTAGGTCTTGAACCCTTGAACCAACTAATGGATTTGGGGATGGATTAGGGTCGGCTTAAGTATAAAGAGATTTGTCTGACTCCTCGAGACGGTGGAAACTTATGAGCGATCTCGTGTTTGAGCCGACGACTTGGTCGGCTCTCACCTTATTTAATCGATGGTGTTTGGGGAGATATTTCAAGTGCAAGAACCACTCGCATAAGCTTTCTTTGCCATAAGATGAAAATTAAGTCATGTGTAGTGTTCTGAATGAGCACTTCCCCGATATCAAGGCATCATAATCTTTTCAGCATATACTAACTTGAGAAAGCAGAGTCGACGGATGACAAATGTGCTTGGCCACTTCGTACTCCTGACCACTTTTGCCAATCGGAGCACATACATGTATCATTATAGCAAAATTAAGTTATGCTTCGCATTAATCGCCGGTGATCAATTGAGCAGTGTCGATCATGGATAAACCATGATAGTAGAACCATGACCCTCTTTGATGTCGAACCAGCTATAAATAGCTCATCCTAACTATTTGAAGACTCAAATTTGTCTTTGCATATGTTTTTTGTGGCCCAATACCCAAAAAAACCTCAACTATAGGTTCAATATCAATTATACCCTAAACTTTTTTTGTCTCATAGAAAATCCCCAACTTTTACGTATGTCTCAAATTTACAACCGTTAACTTTCCGTCCAAAATCACAGTTAATGAACCTACGTAGCATTTCCACGTCATTAATGAGATTCATTTCAGCAAGCTGATATGGATAAATCCTCTCCAAAACGGTGTCTTCTTGGACGAGAAATTAGGTTTGCTTTTCAATTGCTCTCGCTCTCCATATCGTCTCTCTTCCATCTCGCTCTAATCTTCCATTGCGCTCCCTCTTCAATCTCTCGCGCTTAGAGTCGTCCATCACTTGCGGTCAAAGAACTCGCGCTTGGAACACTAGGCTCAAATGAAATTCATTTCAGCAAGCCGCCATATATGGACAAATCCTCTCCAAAATGGCATCTTCTTGAACGAGTAATTAGGGTTTTCTTTTCAATTGCTCTCTCCATATTGTCTCCCTTCCATCTCGCTCTAATCTTCCATTGCGCTCCCTCTTCAATCTCTCACGCTTGGAGTCTTCCATCTCTTGCGCTCAAAGAGCTACCGCTCGAGACACTAGGCTCAAGACGCTCGGACATCTCACGCTCGGGATTCTTCCATCTCTCATGCTCGGATAGTCGTCATTCTCGTGCTTGACGGTTACGTCTTCCATTATCCTCTAGTTTATCGTTTTGTATATGGGTAAGTGAAAGCCAACTTTTATTATCGCTCGGAATAAGTCCAATTTCTTTTTCGTTATTTATTAATATTTTAGTTTTCATGAATTCTTATTTATTAATTTACCTTCGCAAGTCAACTTTCGTTTTACTCGTAGTTTGCTTGTTGAAAATTGAAGTATTACTAGGTTGAATCAAAAGCAATGGTGAGTTTATTCAATAATTAACCCTATGTTCAAATATTGTTTCTACTTTCAGTTTATCACTGTGTTTTTTAACAGAATGAAAGAGATGATGATGATAGTTCATCGAAATGGAGTGATGAAGAACTAAGAATATCCTATGAAGACACGGGTTTTGATACCGAACCTTTAAGTGGCCCGAACGATGATAATTTTGAAGAAATCAGTGTCAAGAGCAATATGATATGCCAATATCTTATTTGGCGAAATTTAAGAGAGTTAGCAAGGATGGAACATTTGATATGGAAGTTAATCTAGGAACTAAAGTATTTGAGAGGTTTTATCTGGGATTTGTAAAGTCTAAAAACGGGTTTTTAGCGGGATGAAAGTGTGTCATAGGCCAGTATTTGAAACAACTTAGTCACTCCATGTCTTTATTTGAAACAAGGTTCACCTTAAACCCTCTTTTGAGAAAATAACTCCACTTCAGGTCCTTATTTGACCTTTTTTCCCTTTTATTATTTGCAGGAACCAGATATCTACTAAATGTGTAATCTTCGTACCGAAAAGAACGAAAGAGCATCAGGACGAAGCAGCCATCGTGCACACGGGGAGGTCCTTCTCAAAGTTGGGCGCAGCACTTAGTATCGGATTGCTATCAAAGAAGTTGACCGGCTTCAGATCGAAGCTCAACTGGTCGGTCGGCATCACCGGGAAGTCCTCTTGGCACGGGACGTGGTGAACCCCGAGGGTGTACCACAGCACGATGTCGCGGTCCTCGATAGGGCGGTTCCTGATCGATCACAGAAGAAACGTTCCACGCTGCGTAAGTTCAGGACGGCTTGAATATCCAAGAAATAGTCAGATACCATGCAATATCAATCTATTTTGATCTGTGATGTGTCCAATATAAAATCTGATTCGAAACTTATCGACTACATAGTAAACGAATGTTATAGATTTAAGATACTATTGGATGTACTGTACAGTATGCAGGTTCTGAAATTTCATACCTCTCAGACCAGGTAGCCAAAGTGTCATCTCCTCTGCTTTGATACACCAGGAGTCCACCGGCCCACTGTTCGCTCCGGTTATATGGAGTCACCCAAATCTGAAAAGAAATTTCCCAGAATCACTTCTTTTCAATAAACTAAGCAAATGTAATCTTCTGTTAATACTAATCAGTTGTTTAAATCCTGTGGAATTAAGGAAAGAGAACCGGCATTACCTGGTTATTAGTGTAGGCATTTCGGAGCTGCGGAGGATCGTCGAGATCAAGCAAGCTCGCCGCGTTGCCTCCCGGGACCACCTTGTACCCCGCCGGGTTTCCCAGCCTAGATAGCCTCGACGGATTGATCACGTGGAACTCCGACGGGTCGTACAGCTTGAGCTTGATCTTGGCGTCCTCCCCGTCCGAGCCACACGGCGGTGCGCCTTCAGGTAGCTCTTCCGAGGCGACCTTCCAGGCGGGGTCTCCTCCTTCTCGAGGCGGACGTTGACGAAGGAATTGTTCGAGCCGTCGATGTCCATGTCGAGGTGGAATGTCATGAAGTGGTCATGGACGACGCCGATGACGTTCTCCGACACGAGGGGCCCGGTCATTTCGTACTCTTCGGGCACATTCTTTATGTTCTCAAACGGAGCTCCTTTCACCATGAGCATACCTGATAGACTCACCTAAATGTGGATCATTCGTACCGTTAAATCCTTTCCATTTCGAAGGACCAAATCATGGAGGCGAGGATGGATCTCAGACTAACCTTGACTCGAATCAATCCGTCCGTTTGAAACTCCCAATCGAAAATGTAGTCATAATTCCCGACCGACGACGCCATACGAGCCACCAGCGTCACCTTAGGCCTCGACTCTCTAATCATCTGCGCTCAATTTTTATCGATTTAGAATCGTATCTCGCCATTTCTACGAACGTAGAATCGTATATCATACCTCCAATCCAGTGATAGAGATCTCGGAGTGACGCCAGCTGATATCTCCGGCGTAGCGCTCGAACAAGCAGATCATGTTGGATTCGACATAGGGCGTCCCATCGGGCGCCGCGAAAATCCCGTCCATGTAGTATGCATTCCTGGGGCAGTCATTTAGCGGCACGAGGGACATGGCCATCACCCCCATCCCGTATTCACCTACGCCCCCGAAAAGACAATACGAAAAGATCATTGAGCAAGATCAGATGATAAATTGGCATCTAATCAAAGACAAGATTGTTCGGATTCATTTATAAAACAAAAGTATCATAGATGACCGACCATATTCTCTCTACCAATCCTTCTGATTTGTTTGTCGAATTGGCATGGTAATTTGAGCTTTCATAGGCCGTGGATCCAATACAGGGAACATACTAAATTTAAAATATAAACCAATCCAAATTTAACAAGCCGACTCAACATTAGAGTCATTGGATCTACTTATTAGGTCTATATTCAATTTTCTAAAAGGCAAGTATGGGGATTGATAAAAGTAATTAAATGAGCTTAACATTTTGATTTCGCAATTCTAATGGATGATGTCTTGCATGGCATGTTGAGTCCTATATGATTAAGTTTTCCATTGACTATATATATACTAGTTTTCACGCGCGCATTACGCACGCAACACTTTTGCGGTGATATTGTGAAATTGTCGACGGCGGCCACGAATAAGTGACCGCGGTTAGGTTAGCTAAATTAGAAACGGGTGGAGAGAGAATAAGCTAAGATTTTGATAATTGCGACCAAATCGGGGATGTGAATTTGATTGTATTTGGGCCAATAATTGATAAATCGAAAAAGGTAAAGACAAGCTCCTAGAAAAAAACAATATAAAAGTTTGGCTCGGTCCGGTTCATCCACGCTTTACAAGATTCTGTCTGTCTCGTGATGTCGGGCACTCCCATGGCTATCTCCACTACGCAAATGACGTACAAAATCTGGACCGTATTTAATTGGGAAAGTAAGTAGAGTCTGAAAATATTCGATCTTAAGACTTTTAGCTCTGATATTATATGAAGTTTTGTGAGATTACTGTAAATTATTTTAAAAACTTAAATTGTTAGCTGATGTTTTGATTTATTATCTATATATCCTAACAACGTCAAAATTGTAGACACTAAAATTCCAACAATTGATTGGGGAAAAGTACGAACGACCGTGGGATCGAAAACACTAATTGTCAACCGTAAGATAGACGATGATGAAATTGTCTTAGTAGCATTCAACGAAGGGCCCCATGATCTTAACTTTTGATGTAGAAAGTCTAACTGCTCGACTCAAGTTTTTAACCCGGTCGATCTCAATCACTTTCGATGTGGATCATTGCTTACGCACTGAAACGGAAAGAAATAAATAATGGGGTCCGGTCGATCTTTCGCTTTCGCCTCACTCACGCTCACGCTCACTCTCACTTTTTCACTCTTCTCGGTCGATATTCACCTTATCGTCTCCGACTCTCCATCTCCGTCTCTGTCCTTGGCTAGACCCACCCGGGAACCGGACCGGACAGGCGGTCCAGTTCCTGGGTGGATCCATGGAACCAATGGGCGGTTTCCGATTTCAATTTTTCGGAACCGGTCCTTAGTGGGCAGTTCCCGGTTCTAGGGTGGGAACCGCCCACCCAGACCATACTCATCCCTAGGTATCCCTAGGTACGTGACAATGATTTACAAACAATTTATTAAGTGAAGGAAAAAAGTAATTATATTATGGGTAAAATGTAAATAATAATCTTGTAGAAATTATTGATAACTTTTTTAGGGTTAAAATCCATTTAGTTTAACTCTTACTTTCCTTTGGAATTTTCAAAATAAAAAATATATATTTGTATTTTAATTTTTCGAAATAATGAAAATATTACATTGTGAATTTGCGCATCGATTACTTTTTATGTTGAAAGATTTTGAATATTCATAATCAAACTTTTAAAAAGAAACGAAAATAAAATAAAAATCACTCGGAACGGAATGAATTGGCGATACCCTTAAGTGGTACCTGCATCCATGAATGTCTTGAAGTACCAGCCCTCGTCCGGGTCCATGTAAGGCACGAACAGCTCGGACACGAACCCCTTGTGCATCACGCTCCTTAGCGCCCCGGTCTCCGGGTCCCGGACCCGGGCTCTCGAGATCACCAGCCCCGCCCGAGGGTCCGCCTTGAGGTGAAATTCCCAGTTCGCCCACTTCACGACGTGCCCGTCCTCCACCACGAAGCTCGGCCCGTCGGGCTGCTCGATCGAGATGGGCTTCAGCGGCGGCGCCGCGGCATCGCAGCCCTCGACCGACCCGTAACGGTACTCCGTGCCCGCACTCTTCGGGACCGGGATGCCCCGACCCGAGTCCGAAAACTCCACAAGCTCCCTCTTGTCGATGTCTACCGTCATGGTGAGGCCCTCGAGCGGCCTCATGTAGAAATTGGACGTGCCCTCCTGATCGAAGCACTGGACTTTTATGACCCTCCTCCCCTCTTCCTCCGCCCGCCCGTACCATCCCGACGACGGCGGGATGCACTTCACGTCCGACAGCGCGACGCCCCGCGCGCGGATCGACGCGTTGAACTCGGCGCTCGCGAACGGGACCTCGAGGGCGGCGACGAGGTCGTCCACCGTGAGGGGCGGGTAACCCGACCCGGACTCGATCGAGTGGGCCTGCACCCGGCCGGAGCCCAGGTCGACGACGAGCTCGTGGGTCTGGCCGCCCGAGAGGGCGAGGACGAACGCCCGCCTCGCCGGAAGTGGGTCGCCCTTTTCCCAGGCGAGGACCTCGGGCTTCTCCGGCTCGTGGAGGGAGAGGGAGTGGATGGGCGGGGGCGAGGGCTTGAAGGGCGGGTACGACCGGAGGATCGACCCGACCCGGACGATCTCTCCGGCCGTGAGCGGGTCGAGCGGGTGGTGGACGGTCTGGGGCGGCGGGCGGCGGGTCCTGGTTGTCCGGCTTCTGGGAGGCTCCTCGGGGACGGGGCTGCCGCCGGTGGGGAAGAATTGCGTCGGCCTCAGCTTCGGCTTGTCGAGAGGATGATACCAGGAAGGGATGAACACGAAGAAGAGCACGGAGGAGAAGAAGACGATGGAGAGAGAGAAGCGGAGGTACGAGGAAGGTCCTTCCATGGCGGCGACGGCGGCGGCGGCGGCTCAAGTGAGGTCCAAGGAAGTGAAAAGTTCTTGGACTATAGATGAGAGTGAAGTGAAACCAATCCAACTTCTTCTTCTTCTTCTTCTTCTTCTTCTTGAATTTCTGGTTTAGTTTCGCGAAAAAGGAACCGAATTAACAATTGTAGTATTGCCGAAGGCTAGCTTTCTTGTTACCTCTTTGGGGGGAAAAAACATGTTCATCATCGCCCTAATATGAAAAATGCAAAAAAGAAAAAAGAGAAAGGGATAGCATTTGGTTATCGTCGATGAGCCGAAATGAAATTGGTGTTATTTGAGGAATAAAAATAGTGAAAAGTATTCGTCTATTCCACCGACGATATTAGAGTCTTCCTTGATATTTTAAATCTCGATCTCGTTTTCGATTTTCTCGAGAGCGCGCATGGAAAGTGAAAATGAAAGTATCGAAAGGTTATATATTTGGCCTACGACTTGGGGTTTGGAGATCAATTTGTTTTCTTATTTGCATTGGGAAACTCTGGAATCGGATGACAATATTTCTTTGTCCCGACCCTATTTTTGGCTTGAAATAAAAAAAAATCCATTTCTCTTCCCCGGACGAATTTCTGAGCAAAAAGTAGCGTTTAATAACGACACGAAATTTATATTCCCGGAATAAAAATTCATTTAATAAGGGCGCGAATGACAACATTTCTCTTCTCCGATCCTATTTCAAAAATCTATTTCTCTTTTCCAGACGAGTTTCTAAGCAAAAAGTAGTGTTTGATAATTACACAAAATTTATGTTTCCAAAATAGAAATTTGTTTGATAACGACACAAAATTTCTGTTTCCACCTGGTGGGAAGCGGCAATAGCGGTGGACGGCTAGCTAGCGGCGACGGCGACGAATGACATGGCAATGGGCAGTGATGGACGGCATGGCGACAGGCGGCAATGGACGGCATGCCAGAGAGAGTTGTTATTTTTATTTCGCAATGTAGAAATAGAAAAGTATAAAATTTTAACTTCTCATTTCTATTCCAAATCTATTTTTAGCCAAAATTTGTCCCAGAAATTAAAACATATATATATATATATATTTTACAAAATGGATTTCTATTTCAAACATGTTTCTAAAAACAAAAAATTAGAAAAATGGAAAAATAAAATAATTATTATTCGCGCCCTCTTTTTTAGAATGTTTTGTTCACTGATTGGAATTTATCTATTTTTTCTTTTTTTCTCAATAGATGAAATCGACAAATAAGTTAATCAGTAAAAATATACAGCACCTCCTTCTGAAGTTAGATGCCTACTAATAAGTAGTTATGCGAAAAAAAACAAAAAAAGGGAAAATGCCTGCCTAATAAAACCGCAACATTTATTAATGGATGCAACCACCGGCCGATTGATTTGAAAGCACACAACGACTTCAAATGCGTTTGGGGGCAAAGTAGCACCAACACGCGATACACATTTATCAAAATATAGAAAAATTCGAAATACGTTAGAACACGCTGTATATTTATTATCTATTTTTACATATACATAATAAATTATCATTTTTAAATCAAATTAATTTGATTTAAATCCACGTATAAATAAGTAAAAAAAGAGTGTCGGACGAGTGTCGATATCCGACACGACACGGAGACCCCAGTGAGAGTGTCCGTGCTTCCTAAGTTTGGGAACGCGTTGGACAAAAGTCAAGTCCTTTGGCAATGTCCTTTTTAAGAAGTTTGAGAGATTACACATCTGCTCAGCTTAGGGCTAATGCTAATGCTAATGCATTTTTTTCCTCCAATCTTGCCCTCGTTAAATTTTCGAAATCTTGAAAATGACCTCGCAACTTTCCACCTTGCATGACATCGACAAGCAACCTAGACGGCGCACATAATAAATTATCATTTTTATGATTATTTCAATCAAATTAATTTGATTCGAATCCACAAATTTGTTTGTCTTGACGACCGTAAATAGACATTGTTTTATTTTTTGTTTATTTATTTGAAATACATACCTAAAGTCCTTTACAAGTCTTGTTTTTCTCAAACACCATTTAAACTGGAGTCGATTCCCGAGTCACTTTTTGCTGAACATTATTTGCATTTCGAAAAAAAACCTTTAACCTAAAATTCTTTGCTATCTCCCCAAAATTTCTTCGAAAGGACAAAAAGGACACTTGATCAGGCCTGCCGATTTAGAAATAATGGGCACTCGTGAAGTAGGAATTAAAGTGAGTCAAGCTATTCACGAGTAATAACTCGAACTAAACTTGATGATTGCTTGAGGTCAACCAATTTGATTTCAAGTATAGTTTGAGATCGCCAACACTCGGTGCCGAACTATATCCGTCTCAATCTTTAGTAAACTTATCAGCATTGTGCTGTCATGCGAATGGTGATTCAATGATGATTGTTGAAGTATAATCCCACGTCGCATGACAACCAGTCCTAAATGCTATATATATATATATATATAGTCTCTTTGCACCTATCAATTTAATCTTTTGGATTAAACTTATTATCGTAATATCAAGTGTTTTTCGTTTCGCGAATGTACATCTATTGCGTTAGACTTATTTCATGTCACTTGTAATCCGGCTTAAACGTGGGAGGGGGTCCTGACAGGTCGTGTTCATGGATTTCAACATTCAATTTTCATCACCATCTCCGCAAGTCTCTTTCAGGATCGGTTCTCTTCTCATCGCTTCCGTCAACCGTTGCAAGTCTCCTTTTCGTTCTCTGGCGGTTGTCTCCATTCTACTTCATCGTAATCGACGACTTCAATCACAACGCTTGCGGTCTGTTTCAAGTGCGAATGCCATCACATCCCAAGTCGAATAATACAAGAGGTAAAGGCCTCTCCCGACTTAAATCAAATACCACAGAAAATTCAATTTACCAAGGCCCCGCTGACGATTTCTCTAAACCAGAATCATTGTTAGGGGAATTTTGTCATTTTGGGCCGGACGACTTACCTATTCTGAAAGCTAATAATTGGTGGGGACGAAGTTTGGATGAATTGACAGCTGTCAAGGAAGTGAATTTGATATCACAGTGTACTATGTTTGTGAATATGGTTAAGTAATAAATAATTATATTAGGCCTGTTGACAGCGTGTGATCGACGAATAAATGAGATATGGGAAGATTCATCATAAGCTATCTGATAATACACATGTCTCTCATCCAAAGGTGCAGCTTTCAAATCTTCTCTTTTGGCGCCATAATCGACTTAATAGAAAGTGCGAAATCGAAATTAATTGACCCATGAAATGTTGGCTTAAATAACAAATGAGTTTGCTCCTCTTCTTGTTGCTTTCATTCCAGGAGAAAATTATGAATTCGCCGGGTCGATGCGAGCAAATGCGCCCTTTAAAATTGTCTTGATGGATGAGTCGAGGGACACGAAAGCTGGACGAGCACCACAATTCCGCTTTAGAAAAAAAAACATAAGAAATCGAAAAAAATGAATCGCCATCCATCCATAAGGAAATCACAAACTGCCAAATTTAAATTTTTCTGTTTATCCCCAACCCTAAAAATGGAGGAGTCGAAACAAAAACGCTCTTTGAACAGTCTCCAAGAGAAGAGAAAGAAAAGCCTCCTCCTCAAAAAGGCTTTGGATCCATATCCTTCCCTTTGGTTTCTAAAAGGGAAAACGATACAAATAAGCTTCGAAGTTTTGCTCGTTATATAATGTAATTTTTAAATTTTTAATTTATCATTATTAAACTTTAGCCCGACGTGAATATATTAAATATCTTCATATAGTTTAGAAACTCGAAAATTCAATGATCATATAAAATAATTAAAAATTTATAAATCACGTTATATATTGAACAAAAGATAAGAGGTTATTTGTGACTATATCCCTTTTAGAATTCAAATTTCCAAGAAATTCGTGGGTCAATCCGTCCTCAAACCTTCCATGGCTTCTCCTCCATGCTCACCTTCCACTCTGCAAATTTACTCCTAGATCGAGTCAAGCACGCGCAGGCGCGCTTGACTCCATAGTTGCTTCTTCGCAATCCAACATCAAGCAATCGCACATTTGAGACGATTCCCACGAGAACCCATCCGTTTTCATCACGACCCACGACCCAAAAACCCGGTCTTTTGATCCGGAGCTCCGTCAATGTCCCAGTCGAAGACGATCCCGCACTTGGATCTCGCGCCCTCCACGCCGGGGAAGCTGAAGCCCGACAAGTTCTCGGCCTACATTCACCGCCAGCGGTTCCAGTCCTCCCTCTTCAAGTTCACTGTCGGGTCGGCTCTGTTCCTGGTCCTCTTCGTCTTCCTCTTCGTCTTCTGCTCGCCGCCGGCGTCGCCGCCGCCCCGGCGGATCCTCGGCGACTCCTGGGGCGGGTCCTATTGGGAGAGGCGGGTCAGGTCGTCGGCTCGCACGCGGGCGCGCGGCGGCCACACCGTCCTGGTCACCGGCGCGTCCGGCTTCGTCGGGACCCACGTGTCTCTTGGCCTCAAGCGCCGCGGCGACGGGGTGGTCGGGCTGGATAATTTCAATGATTACTATGATGTGGAGCTCAAGCGGGCACGGCAGACGTTGCTTGGTCAAGCTGGGGTCTTTGTAGTTGAAGGAGATATCAACGATAGAGAGCTTCTAGAGAAGCTTTTCAATATGGTTGCATTTACCCATGTAATGCATTTAGCTGCACAGGCCGGTGTGAGGTATGCTATGAAAAATCCTGCATCTTATGTGCACAGTAATATTGCAGGGTTTGTGAATTTGCTTGAAGTGTGCAAGTCGGCGAATCCGCAGCCGGCAATTGTGTGGGCATCATCGAGCTCCGTTTATGGCCTCAACTCGAAGGTGCCGTTCTCTGAGAAAGACAGGACTGATCAGCCTGCGAGTCTGTATGCCGCAACAAAGAAGGCCGGTGAGGAAATTGCTCATACTTATAATCACATTTATGGTCTGTCGATCACTGGTTTGCGGTTCTTCACAGTCTATGGCCCATGGGGTCGGCCGGACATGGCTTATTACTTTTTCACTCAGCATATATTGCAAAGGAAGCAAATTGAGATCTTTGAAGGGCCTCAGCATAGTTCTGTAGCTAGGGACTTTACTTACATTGATGATGTCGTTGAGGGTTGTTTGGCGGCTTTGGATACAGCAAAGAAGAGTACCGGGAGTGGGGGGACAAAGAAAGGTTCGGCCCAGTTGCGGGTTTATAATTTGGGGAATACTTCGCCAGTGCCGGTGACAAAACTTGTGAGCATATTGGAGAAGCTTTTAAAGGTGAAGGCCAAGAAAAAGTTGTTGCCAATGCCTAGAAATGGGGATGTGAAGTTTACACACGCGAATATAAGTTTGGCTCAGAGGGAACTTGGCTATAAGCCTACCACGGATTTGGAAACCGGACTGAAGAAGTTTGTGAAGTGGTACCTCAACTATCATTCGGGTTTGAAGAAGTATTCCTCATGAAATCTCCCCAGTTTTGCGCTTAATCACGGTTTTCCTTTTATGGGTCTGGCCGATAGAATGGCATTTTTTTGGTGATCTTATGACTGGTGAGTTCACATTTTGATTGATCCTTTGCCTCGAGTTTTGCACTGCAATCAGTAACACATTGTGCAAGGAGGAGACCTTTGGTGACATTTTGAGATGGCGTTGCTGTTTGTGGAGGATTCGGAGCTGTTTCAGTTAAAAATTAGAAGTGTTGAACCACAATAGACATCCTTCTTTCTTTCTTTTTCGGGACACGATAGCAGATGAGAAAATTTACAGTCCATGGACGATCAATTACATCTGTATTGATTGGTTTTGATTTGACCCCTTTTATTAATCTCAAGCAATTTCCTCCAAATTCCAATAAGATAGTCATTTTTCTGCTTTGTGAATCATGGTTAAGGGGATCTGCATCATGAGGATTGTTTGTGTGGTAATATGAAGCAATGTCATGGTTTAACAAGTATTTGGTTTCATGCTTGATATGGGTGGTGGGAAGCTGTGGGATCTGAGAACAGAAATTGTTCGACGTGCTTGTATTGCAACCCTGTGACTTCTGTGTGTCATCGCTGCTTTGGTGCAAAAAGGTCATAGCAGAATTTATATGCACATTTTCTTCTGATAAAGAAATGAAACCAGACGTACTGTCTTTCGTTTGTTATCTTTTTCCATTGTCGAGCAGTGCGCTCTGGAGCTTTAGCATCGAGTTTGAAGATTATGCTTAGACCTTGGATGGATGTTCAATGCTCCACCCTTCATTCTTTTGCAGAACTTACTCCATGGGTTCTTAAAATGATCGTTTTGATGCTATGCTGTGAATATGTGATTTTTCCTTCACGCATTTATCATCTGTCGTTGCTACTAGTACAGTTCTTACTAGACATGCAATGCGTGTGAAATTAAACGGCACAGTACACATGATGAAGTGTCTAAGGTAGCACATCGATCCATTGTCCAATGCGCCATTAACAATGCATTTTGCCGTGATTTTCGGGTAAGCTATTATAATACATGAGCAATGAAAAAGTTTTTGATAAACAGTCGTGATCTATTTATTTGTGAGCTAAAAAGCCATCAATCGTTGGAGGAACAGTTCATTTTAGGACTGTAGAAAGTCTTGCTATGTATATTGAAACTGGGAACACAAAATGGCAAAAGCATTTGGCTTTCAATTGATCAGAAGGCAAGCAAGCAAGGCTGAGCAAAATTAAGGAAGATTTCCAGCAGGGGAAAAAACTTGCCTAGTTTTGTAAGGCATATCTTTCTTAAAACATTAAAGCTGGTGCCTTTACCAGCAGTTTTGACTTCAAGATCTAACCGCAGCTACATCATTTTCAATCTAGTGAAGAAGTTATGGAACACCAATTGGCTGTGAAAATGGTTGCAGCAGTAGCACTAGACAAAAGAATACATGTGGGAGCGGTGCTTGAATGCTCTCGGTATTGACTATCCTAGGATATTTGGTACTGTGACTGAGAGGAATTACCGCAGCCTCGGCTTGCAGGTTTTTTTTTTCTGAAAGGGCCATTGAGTGGGATGTCTATGCTTCACCCTTTTAGATAGATCACATGGTTTCTATGTCACAGAGATTGCTTAATTGGCTACATGGTGCTAAATGGATGCTGTCAGTGGCAAAAACCGACCTCATTTTTGGTGCCTGAGTTAGTGCAAGGTCTACAGCAGATCTTTAGAAAAGCAACTCAAGATGTCCAGCCTTTGGGTTTTGGATTTCTTGTTTCCAACGATGTTTACTGTTTTGTTGATATTATCATGATCATTTGATCTACATTGTGTAAAAACTTTGTTTTGCTCATATTCTGCACTCGGAGGTAAATTATTCTGGACGGCTCTCTCACCCTAACCTCCCCAAACTCTTGGGATCTTGTTGAGAAAATGACCAAGCTCAGCTCATGTACGAGTTCATGACAAAGGGCAGCTTGAACGATCACACGTCCCGACGCAAGCTTGTCCTCCTAGGCACATCGATACAGCACATCTGCTGCGCGCACACAGTTATATTTGCAGAAACCTGAGGCTTATGCTTGTATCACAATTGAAGCAAGTTTATGGCATATGACTTCTGCGCATTACCTTTCGCTTCACATTGGACTGGTGCGGGGGCTGCAAGAGTCCTGGCTTTCTTGCACTCTTCTCAAGTGAATAGGTCATACAGAGATTTCAAAACTTAGAAATATTTCCTGTATGGGGTTAAGTTTTCATTCGCGTTTATCATGCTTTCTCTCAATTATCATAAAATGCGTAGGAACTCTGGCAATCTGTCATTGCCAACTCGGACAAGTGCGATGGAGATGGATAAGGTTGAGAAACAAATGTAACATTTCTAAGTGTGAGATCCTGGCTATATCATATGAAAACCATCAACGAATCGTGACATCCCTAGATTTCAAGTTGAAGACTAACTCGTTTCATTTCTAAACTGATGTTTGATCAAAAGACCGCTATCGGCATTTTCGACAACACTGACAGGGTACGAGAGACCACAAGATTACCAATTCATCTTAAACGAAGTGAGCTTGGGTTTATCGTAATCGCATTCTTAATCCAACAAGGAATTAGCCAAGTGGGAGCCATATATTCACAATTTAATTTAATTTTCCTCGATACAATAATAAGTTTGCGATTAAAATTCCACTTATATGACCCCACGTTGATCAATGTAATTTTTTCTACTAAAGGTATTATAAGATCTTTATACTTCATATGCATATTACAAGATAAATAATTGTGTGTTGGCATTATACTATATCTATGGTAATGTTGTCTCTCCAGGTGGTCTATATACCTCCAAGCTTGTAACATGAATGCATTGCATTTGCCATTAAAAGTAGGCATTAGCTACATCTCATATATGAAGTGACAATTTCCCACTCTTTTCATGATCTTAATTTTGTCTTAAACAATCCGACCCAATTTCTTTTTTTTTTGTCTTAAACAAATGATGTTTCGAATGATTGTAGAAAGAAATGATTTCCAGATTAAAAACATGCCCTAGATATCGAAAAATTACAAGATGAAAATGGAAAGACCATTAATGCACATCACTAATCTAGTGATCTTGCTAGGTAGAGAGAATAAGAACAGTCTCCATTCTGTGTAGTTGCTAAATGCTAAAATATTTCCAGCCGAAACAGACAGTCTTTTCATTTTGCTTCTCTCCCATTCCGAGTCTTTGCTAACAAATTATTTCAATGTGAATTAACACTTAAGTGATGAAGTAAAAATGGTCGAAAGAATCAAATATGTCATTTGCTCTATGTAGACTTGATCATAGATCTGACGACCCAAAGTATAAATTGGACATGTCTGAGCAAACGGGATCTTTTTTTGGGCTCGAACCAGCTCATTCAAGTCTGGTCATTTGATGAAGAAGAATCTAGTATCTTAAGAACGGATCTAGACAATGACTTCATAAGATCTAGCCATAGGCACGGGTAAATCAACCATGTAACGGATGTTGCCCAGCCCCAAAAGGAAAAGCTTTCAGCCAATACACTGCTTAAAAATGACATGGAATGGAGCCATCTATTTTTCTTTGGAAGGAGAGAGAGTGGTGCCCTGCATGATAGTCGGATAGCTCAGGCTGACAGAGTCGTTTAAGCGTGTCGAATTTGTGATCAAAATTAGAATGCTCTATGGCTTAACAGAAGGAGGGCTATCTAGCTGGTTGATATCAAATCCTGAGCTGTGTCAGTGCCCTGGGATATCGGCACTTGGTGTTGATAGCTTAATTCTGAACGGAGGGTGCGTTCTAGCTTTGTTGATCTGAGCCATGTTTGTGTTCTGGGACATGGGTCCTCTGTTTCTGCCCAGGTGGATCTTCTTTGGGACATCGACACCTGGGAGAGGTGCTCGCTGAATCGGGGAGGGCCTGTTGGGACATTTCTGGGCTTTCGAAGTGGAGTTGGTTGGGCCTGGTTTCTTGGGACGGTAGGTTGGTCTTTTGGAGAACGTGCTGCCATGGTCTGCAAATTCAGGCGTTCTTGTTCTTAGTTTTTCATGTTTTTTATAAAATGGTCTTCGCTCGGACAAGAGATGGATGGAATATCCGATAATACAAGAAACGCTGACGAGCTGTTGAAGAGGGGCTCCGTCAATTGACTGCTTATCGATTCCACACCTCCACCTACATCTCCATCCACGTCCCACGTGCTGTCTCTCTCTCTCTCTCTCTCTCTCCCTCCCTCTCGCATGATCTTCTCGTCAATTCCCACTCATCGATCGAGCCGTGGAATTAATAATTGGGAGGAGAAAAAGCAAAGGAGAGAGCTTTGCGAACAGAAACGGTCCGACTGGACGCCAAGAAACGATCCGGGCATCGTCAATGATTGATTGAACGGCGAAATCGGTGACGAGACGGCTTTCCGCACGATGTCGCGATAGATGGGTCTTCGTCGACGACGACCGCGGGGGTGTTGAGCCATGAAAGGCGTCTCTTCGGCGCCCGGCGATTATGTCCACTTCAAGTCTCAGGTCCCTCTTCACAAGATCCCCGTGAGCCTCTCTCTCTCTCTCTCTCTCTCTCTCTCTCTCTCTCTCTCTCTCTCTCTCTCTCGATTTCGAATTTAAATTTCTCATTCTGGAATTGTCGTAGTTGGTTTGTGGGATTAGCTTCGTGGTGTTAGTGCGCGCGCGTCTGTGTGCTTATGTTGGCATTTGTGTTCCCTTCTTTTCCTTCAATTTGGTCAATTCTTGATTTGCTGCGTTTGGTTTACTGATTGTGACATGGAATTCTTGTGCTTGTTGTTGCTTCTTGCTCGATTAGTCCGGCTGAGCTCTACAGTTTCTTCTCTGTGGTAAAGATTAGGTCCAAGAACTGGGTGTGTTCACAGAGTAATGACTTTCAGTGAGATGGTTAATTCTGGCAAGAAATATTCTGTCGCTACATTATGTTCTCTGTATGCTCAAAAGCTCACAGATCAACCATGTGATGCTGACCCAATTGGTTGCTCAAATCAACCCCCTTTTTTGTGTTCTGTTTGATTATATCAGGTTCTGATCTCCAACGTTTATGCTGTTTTTTTTTTTTTTTTTATCTAGATAAGCAATTTTCAGTGCAAAGATTCCAAAAGAGCAGGGGCCAACCCTGCAACAGGACTATAAAGCCCTGGTCGTGAATCGATCTTGTGTTTGGCAGCGACCTCTGCAATAATGATATCATGTAGAGTTTAGTTGTTCTTACACTGTGACTTTGTACTATAATCATAGTTGTCGGGTGAAAAAATAAGGGCCAATGTTATATTTACCATTAACCATCATATCTGGGTTCAAGTTCAACAAAGATATCAAGTGAGTAATGCTGGATTTTCGATGACTTAAAATGGTTTCAGCATTTGCTTGCTTCCGTGATATGCAGTAGCATGTCATGCCCCTAGGTTCCATAGAGTATTTGACATCTTGCACGTTTCCGATTTTACATATTAATGTTAACATTTGATAGTTTTGATTCAGTGGTGTATCTTGTAGCTTTATGCTACGGGATATCCTTTATCTGTTGATTATATTGGAAATTCTGGAATTCTTTTCTTTTGACAATTTGTTGAAAAACTTGATGCTTCAAATAGTTTCATGCAACATTCACGAATTCAAAGTGTCAAGAGTATTGATTTGCTCCTTTGGTCAATTTTCATATAGCTTATCCATTGTTTATTGTAGTCCTCACAAGAACCTTGGCTATCCTCATACTCTAAGCTAAAGTGGCCGTGTGTAGTCCTCACAAGAACCTTGGCTATCCTCATACTCTTAGCTAAAGTTGCCATGTTTAGATGCCACCCTTGAGCCCCAACTTCCAGCTTGCTCCAGCAAAATTCCATGCATTATGTTGTTTCATAGCTACCTAACTGATGTCTTTTTCTTTTTGCCAGATCGGCGTAAAGCAATGGAGATATTACGATTTTGGTCCAAAAGTGGTGCCACCGCTTATTTGTCTTCCTGGCACAGCAGGAACGGCAGATGTCTATTACAAGCAGGTCATGTCATTGGCAATGAAGGTAATTATTTCAGTATTATAGAGATTTTTCAGCAACTGCAACATGAGCAATGATGAGAAATTTCTAGTTATCTGCTATTCATTTTTATATCTTACACTTTGACCACTCACTGGTCACTGCACAACAAATTCCTTTGGTGTTGTTTCAAGGATACAGAGCATGAGTAATCCATAATTGGCCTATTTTGAAAAATTTCAGGGTTATCGAGTGATTTCTGTTGATATTCCACGTGTTTGGAACCATCACGAATGGATTCAGGCATTTGAAAAGTTCTTGGATGCTATCGACGTTCATCATGTAAGTACCTTTTGGAATTGGAATTACTTTATCTATCTGGTTGGCACTTGTTTACATTTTTTGTGACGCTCAAGACTGCTTGATGCTACCTTTGTGGTATTCTGTTAGATGATTTCTTAAAGTGTTGTCCTTCATAGGCATCATTCTCAGATATCTTGTTTTAGATGTGATTTACATTTATGATGAAACTTTATTGGGATAACTTGGCTGATTGTGCTTAGGGATGAAGTTTCTAGTGCAAAGTAACCACACCCCTTGATTCATTCTGCAATGCTGAATGTGTATCTGAAAGTGTATTTCTTCATCCATTCTATGTCGGTTATTGACTGACAGCTTTATTATATTTAGGATGTTCCGTGAACCCATTAGCTTGGTTTTGACAGATACATCTTTATGGCACCTCTCTGGGAGGCTTTCTAGCACAACTATTCGCTCAACATCGTCCCAGGCGGGTCAGATCATTGATTTTATCCAATACATTCTTGGAAACGCAGAGCTTTGCTGCTGCAATGCCATGGGCTCCAATGTATGTTTGATATCTTGATTCTCTTGATTGGTGGATATTGCCCTGAGCATTTATTTCTTTTTTCGTTCATGGCTGTCCTTCACTTCTATCTGTAGAGATCCTTATAAGGACACGCATGCATTAAGAATACACTGACATTCCATTTAATATGAATTTTTCGGGTTACATTTTCAATCAGATAATACTATGGATGTCCATCCTGCAAATGCCGAAATTGACTAGAGAAATTGCTAAAAATTTCAGATTATTTCTTGTTCGGGTGTTACTAAGTTTGGCTATATATCTGCAAGTCACTTAGCTGGAGTGCTAAACCCGCGAAATAGCATTCCTGGTAGAACTTTTCCTCGTTTCAGTTGCAATGGCTCAGCCCTGCTCCAATTGCATGTCCTGCCTTCGGAGGATAAATTGAATGTCCCGTTTGAAGCTCTATGTTAGGTTTTGTAATTACATTTTAATCTTTTGATTAAGGAGTTCTTGGGAGCTCATACAAACGCTTTCTTTTCTATATGGAGAGTTTTGCTTATTTGATTATGATTTAATTCTTAGTTTGGAAGCACTTGATAGTTGATACTGCATCTGACATTCAGCTGGTTGACGCTCCGGTATTGACTTGCGCAGTGTTAGCTGGACCCCTTCTTTTTTGCTTAAGCGCTATGTATTAACTGGGATTCGTGATGGCCCTCATGAACCATTCATTGCTGATTCTGTGGACTTTGTCGTCTCTCAGGTATAGTACACAAAGGCCATTTCTCTAGTTGTCCGCATGACATCATGACCCTATCTTAAGTAGGATGTTATTTTACAAAGACGGCAGATTAAAACAGCTTGTACATCCTTGTTTTATTTTCATTCAAATTACTTCTTCACCAACAAGCAAGCTTTAGAGGAAGCGAATAATGGGCACTCATTGCCTGATTTAACTTTTACAGACTTGATGTCACATTCTTCTAATGAATTACCTGCCCATCTGTCTTGACGCTTGAATCTGCCGCTCGAATGTTAACTAAAACAGGCATCTTACTGTGGATTAGTTTTGATGATATTTGAACACAAATAATATGTGGTAATTGACAGGTTGAGACTCTCTCCAGGGAAGACTTAGCCTCCAGGTTAACTTTGATGGTTGATGCTGCTTCAGTTGGATCTCTTCTGCTGTCGGATTCATTTATCACCATCATGGATGTAAGTGACCTTGCTTTAACAAGTTATATATTGATTCTCTGTAGAATCTCTCTCATATCAGAAGCAGGGAAACATGAAAATTGTCTTTCTTTCTGCTGCTTGAGACCTCATTCTAATTCTGTTGCGGGTTTCTTTTTCATCTGTAAATAAGGCCACGTGACTGGAATTCACTGCAAAAGGCAATTCAAGTTTGAGAAGAAAATAAAGCTATAAACAGTGCAGAAACTGATCTATAGCATAACTGATTTAACCATACGGGAACAATTACAAAGTTTGGAAAACCCATAGGCTGTCTTTGGAAGTGATTCTGAATGGTTTTAGTTGGTAAACAAAGAACATAGTGAAGTTTTGGTATAAACTGATGACCTCGATAATGGACTTTGCTAGGAAGGCCATTTTATTTTAAAAGTTAGCCACATACAAAATAAGCGATGCTTAATGCTATGCGGAAGTGCTTTTGACCTTGTACAATTTGTAGTACTGCTTGCTGTAGATTCATAAATTCATATTGGTGATTAACTGTTTCACTCTTGTAATTACAAAGACATCTAGACATATTGCTGATTGTGCATTTGTCTCATTCGTGGCCATATCCTTTCTCAATGAAGACGAATGACTATTGTGCTACTCCTCAAAACCTCAAAGATCAAGTAATTGAGAGGTATCCCGAAGCAAGAAGAGCACAACTGAAAACTGGAGGAGACTTTCCATTCCTTTCCCGCCCAGATGAAGTGAACTTACATCTTCAGGTAGTGAAATTCGACAAAGTAATGCTTTTGTTTGGTTTACTCTTGTCCCCTTGTGTAGAGTTTAAGAATGAAGATTTTGTTAACTGCGTTCACCGTCTTGTGGCAGCTACATCTCAGACGAGTTGGGGTTGAAGCTCGGCCAGACTTGGTTCGAGGAGCCAAGGCTGCAACAGCTGTCAGTGCCAGCGACAGCAGTAATCAACATGGAGATCCTTCCAAGGACAACGAGGAAAAGTCTCCTCCTCCTTCCTCCGAAAATCGATCTCCTCCAGATGAAGAAGTGACAGAGACGTATGATTTTGAAGAAGAGCAAAATACAGACGAACATCCAGCACAGGAGACCATGGGAACTCATAGTTTTGAAGAAAAGCGCGCTACTGACGAAAATCAGGAAGCTGAACCAGATCCACTTGAGGTGTGATGGAGGAGCTGCCATACCTTCTTTTCCCCCCAGTGTTTTCAGTTCTTACTTTGTTTCAAGCCACGAGCTTTCAGTGTGCTGTCATTTGTTGATTTCGTGGAGAATCGGGGTTTCAGTTTCAGCGCACCAGTGTCGAAGGTGCGTACGGAAATAGAGATTCATCACAAGGGGAGTCGAAGAAAACAGCAAAAGTTTGTGGATGGGGTCAAGCTGAATTTGAGCTGTTGAGCAACTGATATTCAATTTGATGCTTTTGACTATACATTTTCATGGAGTGGTGCATTGCCACAAGCTGAGAGCTGTAGAAGTACACGTCGACAATTCTTCTTTGTTTATTGCATTTCTTTCTGGTCATTGTACATTTCGTGACTTTTTGCCTTGGGAAGTAAAGACTGTAAAATTTTGAAAGCTTCGTACATTCTTGTTTGTATAATATGGACAGACAGGGCTCTTGTTGGCAAGTTGGCGGAATTTGTGTTTTGGCCTCTCTTGGGAACGAACGGATGTCTTATTCTCTTCTACAATTCCATGCGATTATGAGGGGCTGGGGGACTGCAGAGCTGTGCTCGTGCACGGGACTAGTTGAATCTGTCGGGACGTCTCAACTTGAATTCTTCAGAATCGACAGAATCATTGTCCATTCCAGAGATAGACAGTCTGAAAGTGGCAATGGAAAATTTTCGCCATAATCCATGACTTATCGGTATGGTAATACTTCGTGGCATTGTCAGAAATTGAAAGATCATGGAAGTGACGAAACATGTCCCAAAGTTTGTAGACTTTGCATTCGTACGCGAAATATCACTGGCAAAAGCATTACTATGCGTGATATGTAAATAAGACTAGTAAACGCATTTAGGGTTTTCATGGTGTCTGTTCAAGATATGGATGGTTAACCCGTCGAATTTCATAGCTAAAAGAATCAAAATCATACAAAAAAAAGAGAAAAAAAAAACCAATTAATTTTACCGGATGGGCTATTCTCCTTTCAAGATGCTATTCAAACGATTCGAATGGCCGAGCTGAATGTATGCTGCCAAATATCAGGCTCTAACCAAAGCAAAAGATAGAGTAGGACCGACCAAAAAAAAAAAAAAAAAACCAAAGCAACAACACATGCTGTAACCCTATGAAGAACCCATCCTATTCATAGGAAACTACCTACAAAGACTAACTGGACATGACCGCCATTTTTATAGCCATTCTCTTCAGATGGCTTGAGTTGGTTTCACTACAAAAAACATGAAAGATATTTATGGTACCTCCAAAAGGGAAAAATTAACACAGCCGCAAGTGTGTTCTCGTTCCAGCAGCAGGCACAGATTGTGTTAGGCCGACTAAAGGAAAAGGGATAACCCTATCAACTTCATACAGAAAACACAGCCGATAAGCCATATTCTCCTGATTTTGACACTTCCCTCATCCATTGGGCAGACTTGTCAACCCATTAACATTCATGCGATGTTGTATTTGTTATGAAAGCCTCACACCAACAAACAAGAATACATTATTAGGTTCATCTGACCCTACAAATCCGTTAAACAAGTGAAGCAGCATAAGTTCATGGCTACTAATAAGATTTCATGGAAGAACAATTGACAGGCCAACAATCAAGCGCACGTGAGTGGAAAATCATTTCGCTGGGTCTATTTCACCGATACTCATATTCAAGAGCAAGGTGTTAATTAACCTCCAGGAGATGCAACTTGCACCATTTATTGTAAACCGAGGGCATGTAGTACCAAACCCATGACAGCTGCAGTTTTGTTCCGTCAAACAGGTTTCTTAATATTTTCGAGTCGAAGCAGGACTATTCTTGGCTTCAAGGTTTTCCAATCGGCTCATGGTTGTCACAACTTGCGCTGCACACAGCTCCAGTTTTCGTATATAACCTGAATCTTACAGCCGAATGACCAATAAATTGCCTACTGCAATAGCGTGTATAGATTAAAATTTCACGCGCTCACCCGCACTATGGCGACAACACTTTATAAACATAGATCTAGAATAAAAGGAGCAGAGAAAGGTGATTAGGTATCCCCTGAATTTAGAAATGTAATAGTGCGCGTGGAGAAAAATTCAGCCACTCGCCCACCCTACAGCGGCAACAATTTAAAAGCATAGCTCTATGATAAAAGTAGCAGAGATAGGGCACTAAGATCCCCTGAATACAGTCCATACAGCTCCATATCTAGGCTACTGCCTTCAAAATAGAATTCGGAATCACGCCCTGAAGGAGCAATTACTTAGTTTGGGACACCCATCTTAAACTTACAGGAGAAAGAACAATAAAAGAAGTTAAAGAATAGTACGTCGAGTATGAGGTATTTGCCAACTTGGGTTTCTTTGAGTCTTTCATTCCAAGCTCAAATATACAAACAGGAAGCATCTTTTGGATAGAGCAAGACTGAAACCATAAGCAAAACATCTGAAGGGACAGAGTAAAAAAGGCACATTTGCAATATTGAACCTCACATCAGTTCCCATAATCTACATAAAACACAGAGAATTGCCAAAAGGACCACGCGACTTTTATGCCGCAAGCTGCACTTCACCGCTTTCTCGCTTGCATTGCATCCATGACAAATGGTCAACTCTAGACTTAAACATTATTCTACAAACCAAAGCCGAGCCGCTGCGCAAACTAGAACAGCCAACGACACAAGTAAAATTGTCAAGGGAAGACCCAATGCCGAGACGCCTCATCGACCAAGAAAGAATGCGACGCGACGCCATTGATCCCAAAACATATAACCAACATCAGATTAGCTCGTCCTGGGAAAATCGTATCCTGTCATTCATACACCCATTTCCCTACCCGCACTCCTCTTCGCAATACGATCCGACCCGACAAGAAAAAACCCGCATTCGTTGGCGAAAAAATAAACGCAGCGTCGTGCCCGCAACGATAAACCACTATGCATTAATCGAACAAATTAACAACAGAGTAGCCAAATTAGGACGAAAAAGGGAAACAAACGAAGGGGACAAACGACTCTACCACATCGAACATCGCACAGCAACAACCAACACAATCTTCAAATCCCAAAGAGAACAACCACCGCCTGGCATAGAAGAAACGGGGGAAAAGGGGGAAGAAATACGAGTTCACAAAAAAGGACCCAAACATCACGAATTCGGGGAATTTACCCACTCGCGCCGCCCTCACTTGGCGACCATCCGGGCGATGAAATCCTCGTACCGGATCCTCCCGTCGGGGCCGACCTCGACCTCCCGGATCCACTCGTCGAACTCGGAGGGCTCGAGCTTCTCGCCGATGCTGGTGAGGATGTGGCGCAGATCGGCGACGGAGACGTAGCCGGTGGACTCCTTGTCGAGGACCCGGAAGGCGTCGCGGAGCTGGCGGTCGAAGGGCTCGGCGCGGAGGTGGCGGGACATGAGGTCGAGGAAGCGGGGGAAGTCGAAGGGGGAGGTGAGGCCCTCGCCGGCGACGATGGACTTGAGCTGGGCCTGGGTGGGGTTGCCGCCGAGGGAGCGCATGAGGATCCCGAGCTCCGAGGGGGCGATCCGGCCGTCGCCGTCGGTGTCGAAGAGGGTGAAGGCCTCCTTCATGGACGAGATTTGGTCGTCGGTCAGGTCCTTGCCCATTTCTCCGACTCCGATTCGGGGCCTGGCCGTCTCTTCTCGGGGTCGGGCGGAGGAGGAAGAAGAAGAGAGAGAGAGATTGATATAAAGAAAAATGAACGAAGCGCCGGTTTGAGAGGTTCTTCTTCGCGAGGAGAACTGTTCTAATTTTTTTGGGAGGAAACTAATATATATATATATAATTTATAATATATATTCTTGCTTTTGGTGTAGGAGGACCGAATAACAAAAAGTTAATTATAGGCCTAATTTTCTTCAGACAAAAAAAAAGCAAACTTTAGTTGCGATCTCGTTTCTGTCATGAACATTCTTTGTCCGAAAGAAATTCACAAACTCTTACTTTAATTCGAAATCCACTTTGATAATGGCAATCCTTGACACGTGGACAGATTTGGGATTGAGCTGAAAATTGAAGAGTTCGTGATGAAATTGGGATTAGATCTAAAATTTATGGGTTCTTTTAAGGGAAATAAGCCTAAATTTATATACATTTCGTGTGATTGTAACATCTGGGGTTTTTTTACGGGGAATTTGGTCTAAATTTTTGTACATTTCGCATGATATTGACATTTAAATAATATTCTAGATTTCGATGAAATTATTTTAAGTATAGACAAACAAACATTAAACACGGCAGTGACCTACACGCTACTTGTAAATTAACAACCCGGTATATGTATGAGCAAACGCAAATGCATATGAAAATTTCATAAGCCAGCATAGCAAGCTGCTTGCCCACAAGCCTTATGCTTTGATGTTCTGATACAGTGCAAGCGACGCAGGATGACATGGGAGTTATGAATCATGTGGGAGGTTTCTAGTTCGAGAACAGTGCTGCTCTTTTAGGGGAAGTGAGCTGCGTGTTGGCCAAGTGGTGTTTTGGGGAACCGTGTCCCAAATCAATCAATCATGCTGCTGCTCTGCCTCTGCAGTGTCGGGCCTTTGGGAAATGGACTTGGACATTATTATTGGGCTTGTCCGATGATCATGAAGGCTGTTTCTCCCTCTAATCAAACCCTCGTTCCCATTTAGGTGACATGATGACTTCGTTCATTCGAAGATAAAACGATGCCCAAAACGAATTTCTCTTTCTTGAGAATGAAACATTAACTTTTCTGAGGCCTTAACGATGTGCGCATCTGATGATCTTCCAGGATCACGTATTCATCTCATCTTTGCACAACTAGTTTTCCGAGCCCGTGTCTAGAGGCCAAGAAAAGATGGCATAACGATACCGTGGCAATGCACTGCAAATCTCAGGGCAACCCAACTTCAACTGCATCACTTTTTTTTTTTAATGTAAGGACACTGTTCATTAAGACCCTTATCACTACGTGCAGAGAACACCAGATCCGCAGTTCTCAGACATCCCGGGCATTCACAATGTTAGACACATTCCAAGTTCCAAGGGCGACCCAAATGATCTGAGGAAGAAAGGAATCGACTGATATCACTTATGATGAAGATGAAGCCAGTGTGACTCGTTGTAACACTGGCTCGTTAATTGAATCTTCTGTTTCTCTTGAAGATTGAACATTGCTATTTCCCTTGCAATTATTCTGACTCGGACTTTGTGTGTTAAATTACAATCCTGCTACACAATTTGTCAGAACGATCTTTCTCCTTCTAACAGAAACAGCTTTAAAAGCACAGTTTGTTCCCAACATCAGGGTGTAGAGTGAGTTGATAGTTACGCGACAAAATTTAAGCAACTGCACTGTGCCATTTAAGCTCTTGAAACCATTCTGGAGGCCACCAATCTGGTTTAACTGCCTCAACCTTGAGATCCTCTTGCCCAAGTATGGTAAGCAAACCGGACTTTTTGAGAGCTTCTTCCAACCGTAATAGACCAAGACCTTGACATCCCAGAGTGGTGGTGACTGTTCCGATTTTCTTGCCAGAAGCAGCGTGCAGGATTTCTGATCCAGGAGCAACTTTCTGCTCTACTTCTATATCAACATGGAGCATCAGAGATCCATCAGATACTTGGCATGAAAAAAAAAAGGACAAGTAACAAAAACATAGGCAGAAGATTTACCTTTTCCTTCATCGTCAAGGAACTTCAAAGGGAGCAAACGCTTGCGGATGACACCTCGGTGATGGGTTCGAGCAATCAATTCCTGCCCAACATAGCAACCCTTGTCGAAGCTTATCGCATTAAGACCTTCTAGATTGTATTCTAGTGGAATTGCCTCTCCTACATTGGTAATAGTTTAATGATCAGAGATTACATGGCCGAGAGAGAGGGGGGGCCGCAATATATAGTCATAGAGAACAGCTTCGGCTGCATAATTAAAGGTCTAAAGCACCAAGTTTAACTATGTGCCATGAAGAGAATCATCATGTGGGAAGAGACAAATCTCTTCAGATACTTTGAATGCCTCCAAAAATGTTCAAGTGGTTACTGAAAAGGATCTTGCAACGAACATCTGACAAGAAGGTTCTATATATCTCATGAAACTTAACAAATTTCAACACTACTGTTACATCTCAATTTAGAGATTGGGAAACATGATGAACCTTTGGGAATCTCTGTTGAGCCCTCTGCCACCCCCTTCTCTAGTCTCCGAAGAAAATAATTTTTTTCATCTGTTTCTTTATCTGCTTCAACCAAAGGAGCTGCAATAGACACAAGAAAGAAGCTTAAGAGTCTTACGTAAAAGAGTATGTGCAGGGAAACATAAGATGCTGGCCCAGTTTTCAACACCATGACACAAAAGACATGCGAGAAACCAAATTGAGAAAGGACAAGAAACACAAACGTTCTGAAGAAGATGGAAATATTCCTCTATAACCCAGAGAGTCTAATCTAGGATCTTTGAACCACTGCCACCCTTTTTCATTTCCTTGTGAAGCAGACATGGCGGATTTGTCAACACCAGCACCCCAGCCAACACTAGCAGCATCTGGCTCCTCTGCTTTTGAGGACTTGTGAGAGAAGTTACCACTGTAACGCTGCCAACAAGAAAAATCTTGGGCCACATTTTCAATATCTACTTTTGCCCTCAATCGGTATCTGCAGCGACGGGAAAATGAGAAACAGTACAGATGAGTCCAAGGGAAAATCATCATTTTATTTTGTTGGGAAGGCCAAAGTTCCTGGTGAACTAAATATGTCCATTGAAGAGCATCCATTTACCAGAAACCAATAACCAAATCATTTCACATGCATGTGAATGCAGAGACATAGGAAAACTGCCTACGGAAAGAACTAAATAGAGGTCAAAGAGAGGTCGGAGGCGATTCTAAAGATCACTTTTATGTGATTGAGTTTCCACTTTCCAGATTGGGCGAAAAAATATTAATCAACGAAAATTCATCATCCTAACCTGATATACAGCGGCAGAAAGTTGCCACTTTACAGCATGCACTTGGCCTAAAAACTATACTTCATATTAATTGGAGAACCAAATGAGGCAAGAATGATATCAAACCAAGATCTTCCCACTAAGATTTATCAAAAAAGACACATTTTTTTTATTATGCTGAACTTCTGTAAGAATTGCGTGCCTCAGACCTTAAAAATTGCCTCCTCTTGAATATAGACCACATCTGACGGCTAAGATCAGGGTAAAGCACCTAACTTCGTGTCTGCATAGGAGCTTCATCTGCAGCAATGCAGCAACCTCAACGATACCAGATACTTCTAACGATCGGTAAAGACACCATAGGTTCAAAAACAAAAGAAGGATGGCGCGTCAGATCATCTTGAGGGACGAAGGTCAGCTATTACGTGAGTGGTGAAACTGGAGAGCAACACTCTTATCATATTAAATAGCAGTTATGAGTAGTTCTTGCAATCACAGAACTGGCATGATTTGACATTTAAGTACATGTCCTATATAAAAAACCGCTATCGACCTAAAGGAAGGCCTCGTGACATGGATATCTGACAATTGAAGGTTTGGAAATTGTTCTGATCACCCAGATAGCATTCATGTCCAGAGTTCTTCCTTGACTACAAAACTTCAAATGCAATTGCACAGACATTTCAAAAGATTGACCTTTAAAACATTGGAACAAACGGAATTTATCAGCATCCCAAGACTCCAGAGAACCACACAAAACAGCTAAGAGAGCCGATTTTGTGCCATGTTTGGATGATAAACTGAAGGGCAATGGCAGGAAACTATTCCCAAGAGAAAAACTAGTAACAGGCGCACCAACACGCATAAACATTTCCATCCTCCCTTCACTAACCATCCACAAATTCAGACATTACCCCCATAAACATGACAGATGATTCGAAATTGTCAACCGGACCCACCTTTTGAATGTCTGCACAACCTCGTCCAAGACCTGCGCATCCATGTCCGCGAGCAGCTCGAGCTCCCCGTCGTCGGCCCCGGGTCCGGACCCGGTCTTGTCGAGCTTCTCTTCGGGCCTCGCGGGCCTGTACAGGAACAGGTCATACAAGAACCTCCCCTGAGGGGTCAACAGAGCAGCATACATCGGAGGGACCGTGCGCACGGGCTGGTTGGGCGTGGGCAGGTTCGAACCCTTCTCGCCAGGGGTCTCGCCGAACCGCCGCACATCGTTGGTCAGTAGGCCCTGGAGGAACTTGATCGTGTCCGGGCCGCGGAACCTGATCACGGACCGGGTCCTGAGCCGGGAGGCCATCGACCCGACATTCTGGAGGTCGTGTTGGTGGTGGTTACGGCGGAGGGTCAAGTAACTAGACGCGATGGACTTAAACCGGCGCATCTGTTCTTGTCTTCCGGCAGATCAGGGACTGAATGATTTACAGTTTTGGGATTGAAGAGGAAGGAGCAGTAGTAGGGCAGGAACGATGCTTAGTGGCGACGAGGGAGCTTCGAAGAGTGACACGTAGCTCCTGGCGCTGTGCCACGTGGACGAGAGAGCGTGGCCGTGGCTTCTACTGGCGGACGGTGATGGTTAGTGGGGTGGCCGTCGGCGGGACGAAGCCGAGAGGGGCTTGTTCGATGAGTGTTGATCAGCTGTTCGACGAAATGCTTCAGTGGCCGTGCAGGCTTCTTGCTCATGCGTCGGGGCCGAACGCGACGAGCCTCGTGTCAGACCGATTCTGCGGTTCGCCGAACCGAACTCCTGACTCGATTTTACGTTATAGACATGGGAAGACGTCGTGGTGTGATCACCAATATCTATTGCCGGCACGTTATGAATTTTGTCCTGCTTTTTACTATGTATGCATGTATCTCGTTTGTGATTGATCAATTACATCACGTGTAATGTATTCATCACTTGAAATGCTTTCTTCCAAACTCGGCTATCGATTTGTGTATACAATTTCATATAGTATCAAAGTCACGTCATATGAAATTTAGCCCGACAGGAACATTGCGCATTTATTAATCGTGTCACGACTTTAAGATCCAAAATACAACGAGTTTATTAATCGGTGTGTACTTATAGAGCGAGCTATAGTAGTCCCTCACGGTGAGGCAACTTCATCTGTAAATCATGTCAAAGATCTAAGAATTGCATTGGTGAATTCTAACTTCGTTAGGGTTGTTAGAGCTGGAATGTTAGGATAGGCCGAGTGAGAAAGCCGAACTTCGTAAATTGCTTCTCTTTTATCCTCTAATCTTTTTACATCTCTATAGATAGAAGATATTTGCCCTTTGTAACGCCTTTCATCTACCAAGACTATTTCATCCTCTATGCGTTATTTTGCACGAAAAAGTTTTAAAAAACCCAATAACAACATAGTCTAATGTTGTGAAGCGGTTCGAGACGGCCCAAAGGAACTCGAAGAAACTACGCTTTAACGACCAGCCATGACAATCTTAGTCTAATGTCATTAATCTCCCTCAACAATCTAGGATAAAATGCGATGAAAAAAGATAAATTTTGCAATAAAAGGTGAAAATCGAAAGAGAAGTACTCGTGGAAATGATTAATTTTGTGTTTGAAGTGTTTGATATAACGTGTAAACTCGCTGAAATAGCATGATGTTGTAAAACAAAGAGGTATTTCTGCAAAAATTTCTTATCAAGGTTCACCTTTGTGTTTACTCACCCTTTATGTCACATATCCTGCGGAGAGGGAATTAGAACTTTAAACGATGGTTCTCTTTTTTTTTTTCCTTCGATAACCGACGGGTTAGATCGAGAGAGCTCGTCTATCTAGAAGTTCATGAAACATCCTGCAAGTCAATGAACCGATTAAGTTCGGCAATTTGACCAATGACCCGTTTATCATCGAAACTCGTTCTCTCCGTATACCAAGATAAGATAGTTTCCTTCTTATATTTGCCATTGCCCCTCGTTGGCATTCATATAAAAATGAAATAATGTTAATTAAGTTGACTTTTAGGCTCCATTTATTTCACCAGAAATGAATATTTTGAAAAATATTTTCATATAATTAATTACTTGTACCGTTTGAAATAATAAGTCAATAAAACATGTTTCCATTATCGACAATATTTTATGTCTAAACATCTTGGTGGACGATAAAAATATTTTTCGTTCATTCATTTTCGTAAGAAATATAATCGATCATTTTTTTAGAAAATATTTTCAAAATCATTCATTTTTCGCGAAACAATCGAAGCTTTAAAGAACAAACAAACCGTGCAAGTTGCCAAAGCGTTTAAAACCTGTTAAGCTTTGAATATCCAATCTTTATTCCCTCGATTTACATCGCCAAGAGCAATTTTTTTTTTGTTTAATGATATCGCCATTAATTTAAACGTGCTCTAATGCTTCTCAGTCGAATATAGGAAAGATTAACCAGTTTTGACTCCGCCTGAGTGTAAATAAATCTATATTTATTTCCTCGTGACTTTAATATATCTTCTCTCTCTAATCATCATGGATTGACAACCATTTATGTTATAAAGTGGAAACCTTCGATAAAAAAATTGCAATTAGCTCAAATTTACTAAGTCGGCTGCTTATATTATAATTGGATCGATTCCTCAAGTATGCACGAACCACAAAGTTCGGATACTTAGGTAGCGAATGATAATCATTTTGTTCCAGAATGAGTTCCTGAAACAGAAATAATTTTTTCTATTTCTGGTTCCAGGATGAGTTTTTGAGAAAAGAAACCCGTTTGATAACGACCAAAAATTTCCATTTCTGGAACAGAAACCCGTTTGATAACAGCATAAAATTTCTATTTCCTGAAACAAAAATTCGTTTGATAAACAACACAAAATTCTATTTCTAGGAACAAAAATCCATTTTTTTAAAAATGGAATAAAAATAATTAGAAAATCCAAAAAATTCCTAAAAATCTCAAAAAAAATTGAAAAATTCTAGAAAAATTCATCACAATTTCCAAAAAATAAAAAAAATTCGGATTTCGGGAAAATAGGAAATTTGTTGAATTTTTTCAAAGAAAATCAAAAAATTAAAAATTTCAAAACTTCATAGAATGGCTTAAAATATACTGTGTGCCACCCACTTTTAGTGAAATTTAAATTTTTTTAGGTGCAAAAAATCAAAAAATCAAAAATTTCAAAACTTCATGGAATAGTTTAGAATACATGTGGCCACCACTTTGAGTGAAATTTAAATTTTTAAGGTGCCAAAAATATTCAAAAACTCAAAAATTTCAAAACTTCACGAATAGCTTAGAATACTGTGGCCACCCACTTTGAGTGAAATTTTAATTTTTGAGGTGAAAAAAAAGAAAAAAATCAAAAATTTCAAAACTTCACAGAATGACGTAGAATATCTGTGACCACCCACTTTGAGTGAAATTTAAATTTTTTTAGGTGCCAAAAAAAAAACATAAAAAAATCAAAAATTTTAAAACTTCACAGAATGACTTAGAATGGCTCTAGGCACCCACTTTGAGTGAAATTTAATTTTTTTTAGGTGTTCAAATGGTATTTTTTATTTTTTGATTTTTTAATTTTTTTTCGTCACCTAAAGAAAATTAAATTTCACTCAAAGTGGATGGCCACATGTATTCTAAGCCATTCTGTGAAGTTTTGAAATTTTTGATTTTTTGCTTTTTTTTCTTTTTTTCGGCACCTAAAAAAAATAAATTTTCATTCAAAGTTGGTGGCCATAGGTATTCTAAGCTATTCTGTGAAGTTTTGAAATTTTTGCTTTTTTTCTTATTTTTATTTTTTTCCGGCACCTAAAAAAATTAAATTTCGCTCAAAGTGGGTGGTCATAGGTATTCTAAACAATTCTGTAAAGTTTTGAAATTTTTTATTTTTTTTATATTTTTCGGCGCCTAAAAAAATTTAAAATTCGCTCAAAGTGGATGGCCACAGGTATTCTAAGCCATTCTGTGAAGTTTTAAAATTTTTGATTTTTTGCTTTTTTTATTTTTTTAGGCACCTAAAAAAATAAAATTTCGTTCAAAGTGGGTGCCCACAGGTATTTTAAGCCATTCTGTGAAGTTTTGAAATTTTTACTTTTTTGTTTATTTTTATTTTTTTTTGCATCTAAAAAAAATTAAATTTCGCTCAAAGTGGGTGGCCACAGGTATTCTAAGCCATTATGTGAAGTTTTGAAATTTTTTATTTTTTTTATTTTTTTCGGCATCTAAAAAAATTTAAATTTCGCTCAAAGTGGATGATCACAGGTATTCTAAGCCATTCTATGAAGTTTTAAAATTTTTGCTTTTTTTTTTATTTTTTTAGCCACCTAAAAAAAATAAAATTTCGCTCAAAGTGGGTGGCCACAGGTATTTTAAGCCATTCTGTGAAGTTTTGAAATTTTTGTTTTTTTGCTTATTTTTATTTGTTTTGGCATCTAAAAAAAATTAAATTTCGCTCAAAGTTGGTGGCCACAGGTATTCTAAGCCATTCTGTGAAGTTTTGAAATTTTAATTTTTTGCTTTTTTTAATTTTTTTTGGCACCTAAAAAAAATTAAATTTCGCTCAAATTGGGTGGCCACAGGTATTCTAAGACATTATGTGAAATTTTTAAATTTTAGATTTTTCGATTATTTTTTATTTTTTTTGGCATCTAAAAAAAATTAAATTTCGCTCAAAGTTGGTGGCCATAGGTATTCTAAGCCATTTTGTGAAATTTTGAAAATTTTGATTTTTTGATTTTTTTTATTTTTTTCGGCACCTAAAAAATTTAAATTTCGCTCAAAGTGGGTAGCCACAGATTCTAAACCATTCTGTGAAGTTTTGAAATTTTTGATTTTTTGCTTTTTTTTCCCACCTCAAAGATCGTGACTTTCAGATGAACATGTGTTTTGAAGAAAGAGTTCTCTCATAAATGATTCTCATTTTTTGTCTAGAAATAGAAAACCTACTTTTTTTTAGTTCTAATTTCTGCTTCAGAATCGGTTATGGAACAAAAAGTTGTGCACAAATAGAAAAATGGAATTGCATTACCAAACGGATTTCTGGTCCAAAGCTATTTCTGGAACAGAAAACCAGTTCTGGACAGAACCAGAATGGTTATCATGCGCTACCTTAAGATCCAAACATATGATATCATCTGATCATCTGCAAGTTTGCTTCACATAATTCAATTCTTAAAGAGTGATTGAAGATTGCTATCACGGGCGTTAGCATCACATCTCGCTATTCTTTTTCTCACGTGTTTTGCGCGCGATTACAAATTCCAACCTTCAATCTCTTAGACCTAAATGTACATCATGCACTATTATATCGCAACTACACTACCTGGTAACTGTAGCTTATGTAAGCCAGCTCCTTAAATAAGGGAACTTGAGCATTATATGAATAATCATGTGTGCGTTTGTGTGTGTATATATATATTGCATATATTTTTCAAATGTGCACCTTATTGTAGTTCATGTCTTATGGCCGACGGGAGGCGGCTCACAGCAAGCAAAAATGGCGATGGGAATGACAGCTACCTACGCATTCTCAGAAAAAATATTTCGGACACGTAACATCTTGAGGTGGTGGTGGAGTGGAGAGGCTGGATTACAGTTAGCGATGCAGCCACGTCAGCCACGCAGATGGTCAACGCGTACGCCGGCGGCCAATGGGAAGGGGCGACGGAGTCAGATGGACGTCGAAGGCAGCAAAGCTGGAGCGACCTAAAATTTTTTCTGCAGAGTTCAAGGGAAGGAAAGACAGCAGCTCCGGTTTCCTACCGCTGTTGACCATCATATTCTATGCGGTCGATCTGATCCCCACGTACTTCGAGATGAATCAACATATGCTGGGCTCCATCAAACTGGCAAATAGTTTGACTTTATCTATATGAACAGAAAAGAAACAAATTCAGAAGAAGAAGAAGAACCAAAGCCCGAACCCACAGAGTCGTTCTACTCCGACCTTAGACTTGGCTCCGAGGATCACTCCGCTTTTTCGACAAGTTCAAGTTCAATTTACCGTTCTTTTTTGCTATGTTTAATATGGTTTGAAACAATTAGTTCGAACGTATTGCGGAAAGAAACGCTGCACTTTAGATAAAGCTATTGAGAAGCATTTTGGGGAGTGGTTTCTTTCAAAGTTGCCTGCCATCTGATCTATTAAGTGTTGTAGTTTAAAACATGTGTTACGAAACGCATAAGTCACAACACTTTATGTGTTAAACTCGTCATACGGTCGGGTCAAAAATGATCCAATTCAAATTAACCCGTTCTGATCAATTTTCATGCAATGCAAATCTAATGACCCCATACTTAACCCAATCTATACTAAATCCATATCCGATGAGACCCATATTACTAAAAACACTTACATATTTAAACCCAATTGAAGAAAACTCATGCAAGACCAAGTGAGGGTGAGAAAGAGTATGGAAGTGGATTGGGTTTAAGTAAGTAATGAACCCATTTAATACCTATAATATTTTGAATTTTTTCATTTTAAATTTATTTATAATGCATTTACTGAATATAACTAATTCATATAATAACTCAATCTATTAAATATTAGTCTTGGAATGGGCGTTTTGACAGGTGTACTTATGGTTTGAACATAGCCTTCACCAGATCAGGCTTCTTGACTAAAATCTGAGTTAAAAACCAGGTCAATGTCACGAGTGATTAGCAGGAGGCGTCAGACTCCAAATCTGTAAGTTAGTTCGCACACCAAGTGGCAACTTACGTGTACGTGTCCGAATACACTCGTGTAGCCTTGACACTTGACAAGTAAAAAAAACAAAAAAAGTGCTGCTTCAAATCAAAAGCCAGGTTGGTGCTCGGAAACTGCAATATTTTATCAAATTGATGGGGAAAATCCACTGGAATCCCAATCCCGCACGTTGGATTTGCGCGGATCCATGTCAAGTCAACCCACCACGCTTTCTTCCTCAGATATAGATACCCCTCCTCCACATTTCACCACTCATCGCTTCATCATCATCATCATCTTCTTCTTCTTCTTCTTGTTAGAAGGCAGTCTTGATACTTTCTTGCCGAGGAACAACGAAAGAAGAAGCCAAGCACAGAGCTAGAGAGTCCGAGAGAGAGACAGAGAGAGAGAGAGAGAAGCGATGAAGCTAGTTTGGTCTCCAGAAACTGCGTCCAAAGCTTACATCGACACCATCAAATCCGTAAGCTCTTACCCTTGTTCAAGATTTCCATCGTTTTGTCCTGGAAACTTATTCCCCTGGAGTTTGCCTGAAAAATATGTCAGTCCCTGAAGTTTCCAACCGAAACTTGACGATTCCACTGAAAATTGCTCTGACCAAATGCAGTTCGAAGCTCGGCAAGAGTCCGGAGTCCCGGAGCTTGTGGCCGCCATGGCGGCAGGGTGGAACGCGCAACTCATTGTCGAGACCTGGTCGAGGGGCGGCGTCATCGCCACCAGCGTCGGCCTCGCGGTAGCCGGCCGCCACACTCTCGGGCGGCACGTGTGCGTGGTCCCCGACGAGGTGTCCCGGTCGGAGTACCTGGAGGCGATCAGAGCTGCCGGTGGGGCGGCCGCTGAGATGATCGTCGGGGAGCCGGAATCAGCTATGGAGGAGCTCGAAGAGATTGAATTCATGGTTATCGACAGCCGGCGAAGTGATTACTCCAAGGTGCTGAGGATGGCCAAGCTGAGCAGTCGCGGGGCGGTCCTGGTGTGCAAGAACGCGGCGAGCTCCGGAGCAGGCGACGCGTCCCGATGGCTGAGCGTGGTGGAGGGAGGATCGCGGCGGCTGGTGCGGTCGGTGTTTCTGCCCGTGGGGGAGGGCTTGGACATCGCGCACGTGGCGAGCACCGGCGGTGGAAAGGGTCAGAGTAGGTGGATCAAGCACTGGGATCAACGTTCCGGGGAGGAGATTGTTATACGAAAATAGCCTTCTTTTCTTCGTCTTTCTTCTTTGCTTCTTCTTCTGTATTAGGTTTTGTTTTTCATCAGAGCGAAGAGAAGACATTTTTGGAGAGGTTAAGGTTGGCCAAATATGAAAAATGTACAGGATTACACGTCATGAAAGAACATACTTATTGTTAATTTGTGATAAAACATGTTTTTGTCGGATAATAAACATATGTATTTTATTCTAACCCCATGATCATTGTTAATTCGATCATCTAGATCGATTTAGACAAACTTCTAACTTAAATAAAGCTTATCATATTGCGAAAACTCCTAAATGAGAAGTTTTGGGTTTGTCCTAGATTCTGGTTATGGACTTCCCATTGAAATAGATAATGCGTTTCAAATCTTAAAAGATTATGATGAACTTGACTCAAAATAATGTCGTGAAATAACGCTGAAAGATTTGCTTGTGCCATGCACAATTGCGATAGGCTAATCTGAGTTAAAGTTATATAAACTATTTTCATCTAAAAAGACATGATACCTATTCTTTTAGTCACGTAATAGTATATCGTAGGAGTTTACTTATGCGACCCTTCTACAGCCTATTAAGCTTGTGTTCTTCGATTTCTTTCCCATCTTTTCATGACTAGCACAATCATCATGAATTAATTTTAAAAAAGGGACAATGAAATCTGTACATTAATTGTTCACTTACCATGGCACCCTTTTTTTCTTTTTCTTTTTATTTTATCTATGAAACGCGGTTTATTTACAATATCAATTTAATCCATTATAAGTAGAGCATAATTTTCTGTTTATTCAACTATTAAGTATAGTTTTAAGCCAAATCTAATTTTGATTTTTCAATTACTCGGTCTAGAATACCCTAATGTGTCCAAAGAAAATGTTAATTGTGAAAATAATATATAGAATATAATCTAGATTAAATAAGTTGTATATGAAGCTTTGTCTTGTGGAAAATAAATTTGTCATCTACAACAAAAAATTGAAGAAAATTTTCCTCATCATCTCCATATTAAGGTAATAACACTGGCCAAGAACAAGTAATAACGTCGCCATTGATTTAGTATGAATACTTAATAAAAAAAACAATTTTAGAACAAGAAGGGTATGAATTTAAATTAGCGTTAAAAAGAGAAGAAAAGAGCTAACTAACCCGTTATGGGCTAACAATTTCCCTTGCTCTTACAGGGGAATGGTCTCTATCTTGCGGTGAAGACTTGGTCAACCCACCAAATTGCATCATAGGAACGAGCATGGTTCCAAGATAAAATCTCGAACCTGATAATCGAATTGGTGAAAACTTGTCTCGTTTCAGGTTTTAGGATATATAGAGTAGGTTACAGGTTACGGGTAGATTTCAGGTTATAGGTAAATGGAATTTGGAATCTGGAATAAGTTTTTGTGTTTTTCTTGGTCTATGTCTTCGCGCGGTCCTGCGGTATTCCATGACGTCTGATAATGAGTATATAATTTGGAATCACTAGTTTGAGCTTCTATTTTATAACTAAGACTTTTAGTTTGTTAATGTTTCATATTTTTCGTGTGTCTAATTATAAGTTGTGTCCAGTAGATTGTAAAAACAAGTGGTGATAATTAAAAGGCGATGTTTACTACAATCGTTCAAAACATAGTAAAAATAGATTATGAATAGACTTTGAAACCGACCCTGGAACCTGTGACAGGATAGGTTCCAGGTTTCAAAAAACAAGGAACCTGTTTCAATAGGTTTTCAAGTGAAATCTGTACAGCATCTGGAATCGTTCACCCTCAATTGCATGTAATCATAGTGCAGATACTTGATTGAAAAATATTTTACAACAATAAGGGTATGAATTTAAATTAGCTTTAAAAACAAAAAGAAAAGAGGAGCTTGCAAAAGCCACTCTAGCCAAAAATTGACCTACTCTCACAAGGGTACCCTACTTTCTCTCTCCCTATCTTGAGGTCAAGAGTCAGCCAACCAAGCTCCAGGCATTAAGATTTTGTGCAACTTTAAATGCTTGAGATGTTTAATGTTCATTAAAATTAAATCTTGAATGCCGGAAGCAAAAGTGAGAATTCAAAATGAAAGTAAAAGCGACTCAACATAGACCATTGAAGGGCCTTATCGCTGTTGTTGTTAAACACGAGATGTATATAGGATTATTTAGGAGCGACAAGGGACTAGACTGGGCCAAACCCTTAGGTCGGGCCTAATTTGTTGCACAAACCACCCATAACTAAATATACTTGCATTAATATCGAGACTTGGCACGAGCATCATAACTAAATAGCTCTGTCCAAACCCGTTCAAAAGTTTCCTTCAAATCCATATGTCCCGAGCAGGGCCGGGCGCGTGCCTAATAGGATCATATGGTGCACACCATACTTCATGTACTCATCACGTCCATGAGAACGGACATCTCATGTGCGTGGATACACACCAAGTTAGGCAATCCAATTAACAAAGACAAACTTTCCGTTCGAGGCCCAACTTTTTTTCGCATGGAAGACGTTCCTTCTACGGGCCAAGCCCATCCCCATAAACTCTGCCGTCACGCCGTGTCTACAGATGGCCCATGTCGAAGCCGTTTCGCACGACATCCGCCATGTTCGTCCTCGTCTGAATGCTCCCCCTATGGACGACGGGAGCCGCAACCCGAGATCGGGAAGTGGAGACCTGGAAAAAGGGGCACACTTGGGGGGATCACGATCCCATCCCATCCTCGCGAAAGACGACGACACTGCCTCTGCCTCTGCCTCTGCCTCTTCTTTTTGTAAGCTTTTGCTGCCAACAGCGATCGCGGGGGACCACGTTAGCCAAGCAAGCTATCCTCATTTACTCTTCTCACATGCCCTCTCTCTCTCTCTCTCGTTCGCTATATAAATGAGGGTGAACGCGGGTGGTTGTGGGAGTTGACATGGGGCTTTAAATGCGACAACTCCTCCTTCCAGCATCCCTCATAAATGTACGACAACTACTGACCGGGTCTCTCGCACTCGTCCTAGCCAGCCCCCCTTCCCTTTAACTCTCTCGACAAACGTTGCTTTCCCACTTCACCCACCCCTGAGGCAATCATCGATTAAGCAGAAAGAGGTCGCCCCCCACTTATTATTAACCCAAAACCCACGACTCTCTTGATGAAACAAACCCGATGGGAGCAAGCTTTCCCTTCGCTTCGATTGCCAATGTAGAAATTCGATGCTGACTCCATTTATAGTGGAATGAACCCTCCCCCCTCCCCCCCAAATAGGAGCTAGTCCTCCTAGCCCTAGCAAAGCTAAGCACTCGGGGGGCATTTATTTTTTGCTGGAATTCGAAGTAAGCATGCGAATGGCTCCCTCCTTCAAGGTCCTTTTCCTCCTATCTTTTCGCACTAGTAGAAAACTCCATTTTATGGTCATTTTACAGCGTTAGATGGTCTTTTTACCTGCCATAAATACACAAGCATTTACAGCCATGTCGTCGTGCGTGATACATGAGCACGAGAGAAAGCACTGCATTGGAGCAAAAACCATGATCCTGACGAATCCGATGATGATGAATGAACTTAGATCCCCATAAATCGCGCAGAGTTCACATTCTCTCGTCAAAATTGGACCAGGCGGATGGCCATAAATGTATCGTTTGGATTACGACGGCCTTAAATTCTTCAAACCATTATGATGGCCATTATGGTGGAGTCATTGCTTCTTACCAATGACTCCACCAAACTCAAAATTGCACACATTCGTAACCAAAGCCCGCGATCTTGTTCACGATGATCATATAATATGCTCAACATCATCGTAAGGTTTTCATCTCACCGAGAGGTATCCAGCCCTGTGGACTGTAGAGAGAGAGAGAGAGAGAGACTCACATCTCTCCTGCGACTCCTGTCGTTTAAAGAGCAGGATTACAAGACGGACAAAGGCAACCTAGACACACTCGCTCTCTCCTTCCTCGGGATAAAACTCACCCCACGTACAGAATGACAACAATATATTGGAGTGTGTCCCCAACAGAGAAAGAACGCAGAGCATGATCGTCAATCCTCAGACAACAAGAATGCCTCGTTCCAAACCATCCTCTTCTCCTTCTTCCTCCTCCAAATCCCCACCTTCCCCTCCTCTCTGTTTCCCTCTCCAATCCCCCCACTTCACTCCCGTAAGCGCGGAACTGGACACCCTTGTTCTTGTTGCTTCGTTTTTCGAAAGGGAACAGCTGGTTTGATCTCTTGATTTTTGCAGATCCAAGAATGCCAAAGAGAAGAAGAAGAAGAGGAAGATGCTAACAGTATCGAGGGACCGACCTCTCATGCGCGGCCGACGCCGACCACTCCGAGGCACCACCACCAACCGACGCCGCTGCACCATGACCACAGAAGCGGCAAGCCGGGGAGCAAGAAGCGACAGGAATCGTCCGGCGGCGATGACGTCTCGGTGTCGTGCAACAACTGCCGCCCGCACGCGCGCGAGAAGATCTCCGTGGTCCCCCTCGACAACGGCGGCCACCACCACGGCCTGGGGCGGCACTCGATCCCGAGTCCGAACGGCATCTTCAGGTCCATCTTGTCCACGCTGACCAAGAGGAGCCCGCGGTCCATCGACGCCCCGTCGTCGGCTTCCTCCTCGGTGATGGAGGAGCAGTGGAAGATCGCCCTCGCCGAGCTGTCTCACAAGCTGATACAAACCACGAGGAAGCGGGATGAGGCGATCCTGGAGGCCTCCAGGCTCAAGTACTCCATGGCCGAGCTCGAGAAGAAGCTCAACAAGCTCGAGCTCTATTGCCACAGCCTGAAGACCGGCCTGGACGAATGCAATAACTCTCCTTATCGGACCCTCCGAAACACCCACCACGTCAATCCGATCCCCACTTCTAACGACAAAGTCATCGAGCCCTTCCTCGTCGCGGTGTCGGGGGCTCGGTCTTCCGTCCGGTCCCTGAGCCGGTCGCTCGCCATGCAGCTCCGCGACATGGGGGGCAAGCTGCACGAGCGGGTGTCTCTCCTCCTCCTCCAGCCTCACGACGTCAAGGCCGCCTCGCCGCCGTCGAGGAGCCCCCGGAGCCTGCTGCTCCAGCTCGAGGCGCTCCTGAACAGGGCCTTCTTCGAGGACTTCGAGTCGGTCGGGTTCCAGAAGAGCGCGGCGAACGCGATACTGAACCCGGTGGACCGGTGCGAGGCCAACCTCACGTCGTTCAACGTGCTGTGCAAGTTGACGTGGGACGAGGTGTTGAATAAAGGCACGAGGCATTTCAGCGAAGACTTCAGCAGGTCTGAATAAATTAGAATTTCACTAACATGTCATCTGACAAGCAATGTGTACGTTTTTTCTAAGTGTAGGAAGGGAGTTAATGTTCGTTTTTTCTCATCTTTTTCGGGGGCAGATTTTGCGATAGGAAGATGAGTGAGATCGTGTTGATGTTGGGGTGGACGAGGGCGTGGCCGGAACCGCTGCTGCAGGCATTCTTCGGGGCGTCCAAGGGGGTGTGGCTGGTCCACCTGCTGGCAAACTCGGTCCACCCGGGCCTGCCGATCTGCCGGGTTGACAAGGGTACCCGGTTTGACCCGGTCTACATGGAAGACATGGGCGCGGACAAGGCCCGGGACAGGCTCGTCCCGACCGCGGTCCGGATCATGGTCGCACCCGGGTTCTACGTCTACGGCCACGTGATCAAGTGCAAGGTACTGTGCCGGTACTGCACTAGCAGCAGCAGTAGCGCAAATGGTATGCTCATTGATGACGGGGACTCTGTGTCAGCAACCTCACCTTAGATAGATCATGTTTGAATTTTCGAATTCGAGACAAATCCTCTCTTTCTTACCCATCAATATTTTTTGTGGTTTTCTCTCTCTTCGTAATATGATAATAGCAGGGGACATTTTCGTGGAAGTTATTTAATCTTTAAATATGTCTGATTTTTTTTCTTTTTGGAGGTGAAGGGTGCAAATGTTTTGGCCGTTGGACTTTGGGGCCGGGGGTGTATAGAGGGGGAATGGAAACGATGTGTCATTTGGGTCAAAGTAAGATTTTGGCATTTTGTTTCTAGGCTCTGTTCTCGATCCTCGTCTGGTCTATTCGTCATCATTTCCCTCCTATCTTTATTTTGTTTTTTTACCTCGCTGTTTGTATGTTTCTTGGGGGATTTTGGTATCTGGGTTTTGTTCAGAAAAGGAGATAACACATGCCCAACACGAAAATGGGAAGGAATAATCAAGTGTTAGTATCGCCACCTCTGCCTGTGAGTTTACCTTGGATCTTCTTCTATACTGTAGCGATCTTAGTGTCAAATCCAGATTGTACCGATCACGCTATCTTTTGGATATGTGGGTGTGTGTGTGTGTTGGCTCAATTGACACTAGTGTTTTAAAAATGGACTTGGGTAGGTGTCGCTCGTGAAGCTCCCCCTCACGGGCTAGGTTAGGGTTCAGTTGATCCATTTGATATTGTTCTGTTAAAGATGAACGAGACTGGCTCGACTAATTATCTAGATCAGATGGGGGGAGGGGGGGGGGAGCTTCATTTTTTTTGCGAGCATCGTATCCTCTGGTGATTCTTGATAGTTAGAGAAGGTGGCATTGAAGAGAAGGCCAAACTAGGGGACAGTGGAGGTGTTGGTGGCGGCGGCGGGGCGGAGTTCGGAAGGTGAAGTGGATGGGCCGTTGGTGCGGGTAGAAGTGTTGGCAACAAAGGTCGTCAGGAGATGGAGGTAGTAGCATCGCGGTGGTGAAGGTATAGAGGTGACGGAGGAGGTGGATAGAGTGAGTTCATTGATTTGGGATGGACGACGAAGATAATTGTGATTTTCGCCAGAATGGATGATATACCTTTCAAATTAACAAACTAGTTGTATGGACAAAGGATTGAAGGGTCATTTGTTAATTCTTGGACAGTAAAGTAAATGGCAAGAAATTTAAAATACGGATATTAGGAACAATTGCAACCGGCATTGTAAAAAGTAAAAATACATTGAAAGTATAAATGAACATGAGTTATTTGATAGATTGATCAGTTCTTTACAAAGATTACAACTCGGGTATTTATACCCACAATTGACAAATACATAAATGGTTAATAAGAAATTAAACATGACCTATGTGGCTCCTTCTATTTAATAACACTTATCTACAAATGGTTACAATATCTGAGATTCTCGATTCTACTGCTTGACAATTACCTCCTGCACTCCTCCCCATCGGTTGAGTTGGTATACTTCATTTGTCGACTATTCGTTCCAGCACTTAGTCCTTTTTGGTTAACATCTCTGTCGATCGACCAATTTTACATCAGCTAATCGCTCCCAGCACTTGGTGATCCTTAAACACTTAGGCATTTTTTGGGTGTTAATGTATGACCCCTTTAAAAGATCGAATGGTTTATTCAACACTTTTAAATACCTATGCACAATCATTATCCTCAAGATAGAAAGAGACGTGCACATTTGATCTTTAATTTTTCATCTCACGTCTCCCTCGACGGTTAACCATAAGCACGCCATTACATCACATTATTGGAAGACCTATTTCTTCATACGATGCTACCGGACCAAAAGTCTCACCTTTTCATCTTCTTTCTTCGTGAACTACATAATCTTTAACCTTTTTCTCTCAAACTCTTCTTTTCATGACACCAATCACCACCAGGGCTTCTATCTTTACTATTAGCCGTCTTGAGATATAAATAGGTCGTTTTGATAACCTCAGGGATTCGAATGGAAGGATGAGCTTTCTCTTCAATTTATGGACGAATCCGATGATGACACAGGTTATTCTTGGCCCTTACTTTAAATGGCTTCCTTCCTCCATCTTTTGATCAATGTTATGGTAAATGTAACTAGCGATTGAAAGCAATTTCATCTCTCTACCAATTTGTTGAGAAAAAGGAAATTCCATTGAATGTATGGTTGGCATAGGGATTTCCTAAGCCAACCCAAACTGTCAAGCACATTGTGGATGGTAAATTACAAAACCAGGAAATAGTTTTTTTCGGTTTGGAAATTTAAGAGGAAGATCAACGGAGACCAAGACTACCTTCCAGAATTTCTCCACTGTGGCCTAGCTGTTAGAAGAGTAGATAGAGAGGCCAGGAATATCTGCAGGACAGAATTCGATATTAAAGGAGATGTTTGAACGTGGAAACGCCATTGATGATCGGCAAGAATGAATGGCTGAGTGTCGACCACCAAAACTGTCAAGGAAAGGAAGGCTGAGAATCCAAGTCATGATGCTATGGAAGGTCGATCGACACATTTGAGAAAACAAAGAGTCGAAACATACGGACAGATCCATACTTCAAAAAACTACGGAAAGGCCCAAAAAAGAGCTCAGAGCTTGTTCTATGCAATGATGACAATTGCGCATTTGAGATAGCTCTGAAAAGAGCAGCCAGAACAGCTCGACCAAAATAAGCAAGTCTCTTCCTTTTGACAAAAGATAAATCGAGACAGCCATTAAAGACGGAAAGCCATATGCTCCTCAGAAGAAATTTCGCCCTCGGTTAGAAAATATTCGTCGATAAAGGAGTCACGGGAGAGCTCGTGAGTAGACAAGCTAGAAAAATATGAACATGGGCTTGCCTCTATCACTTGAGCTTCGTTGCCATAAGAAGAGCGTCTAGGGATGGCAAAGATATCGAGGAGAGTAATAGATAGAGGCCGTAAAAGAAAGGAAAAAAGCAATTAGTGGAGGGAGGCAGGAAAGAACAAAGAGAAGAGAACCTATTAAACCAGGTTCTAAATTTAGGTCACAGCAGGAGAGCTCTGGAGTCGAGTCAATTCGGGCTTGTTTCCAAAGGGGTAACATGTGAGGTCTTATCCTTGAAAATCACTGGAAGAATTTCACATATAAAACTGGAAAAGCCATAAGTAGAGGATTCGTCTTTGGCCGGACTTGTTAGGAGAATACGAAAACATTGATCTAAAGATGGAGGAACAAGAAGTGATTTAAAGCGAGCGCCAAGAATAACCGGATTGATGTCATCTTCAGATTCGTCCACGCATCGAAGAGAAAGCTCGCCCTTCCATTCGAATCCCTTGAGATTATAAAAAGGAGCAATGTATATCTCGGGACGGCTAATAGTAAAGATTGAAGCGCTAGTGATTGGTGCCATGGGAGGAAGAGTTTGCAAGCAAAAGGTTGAACATAATTTAGTTCACCAAGAAAGTAGATGAAAAGGTGAGAGCTTTGGCTCACTACCACCGTATGAAGAAATAGGTTTTCCAATAATGTGACGCGATGGCTTTTGAAGAGGACGTGGGACTAAACATGCTAGATGAAAAGGTATGATTATTAACTGCATGTCTCTTCCTATCTTGAGGATATTGACAGTACATGGGTATTCAATTCTTTTAAAAGGGGTTATGTTAACACCCAAAAAAATGCCCCGAGTGTTTGGTTGACGGCTTGATGACAGAAGCCTGCTAAGATAGCAAGATCAAAGGATCACCAAGCGCTGGGCTTGATCGAGATTTTCTCCGGTTTCTTAAGCCTCCGGTCGTGTGCGTTCATTGGGCTGTCCGAGGGTGCCCGGTCCCATGCTTTCTGGACTTGGGGGCTGTAATCAGAACTCTGATCCAGGGCTACTCCAAATTTAAAAGGTCTCCGAGTTTTATCCTCTTAATTTCACGATAGAGTGCAACTGTGTATTAAGGTTGCATTCGGGAAAGCAAAGCACTTTAGGTTAAAAGAGGTTTTTCGAAATGAAAGTAGTATTTGGTAAAAATGCATTAGGAAACAACTTTTGTTTAAATGGTGTTTGGAAAAATTACACTTTTGCTATTTCTTTTTTTAAATAAAATAGCCTCAAAATTGGCAAAGGACTCAAAGGCCGGCGAGCCGGCTCTAGCTCAGTCGCTTGGGGTCACATGAACAACCAGATTTGGCCTCATCGGCCAAACTCGTGCAACTCAAGACGGAGCTATTTGCGTAGAGAAGATGAACAGTTCTTATGAGTGCAAAACCTAGAAAACGAAAATTTGGTAAAAGTAGTTTTGGAAGAAAAAAGAATTATTTAACCTTGGAAAATGACCTTCTGAAAATGCTAAAAGCCAAAAACAGATGAGGACTTGCCTTGAGCTTTTAGCTTTGCGAAGACCAGTATTTGGCCAAGAGGTTCCAAAAAAAATTTGCTAAACACTTTAAGTTTCCCCAAGGGGTTTAGAGGTTCAAAATCCCTTGGAAAAGCCGAACCTAACGCAATATATCCCTCCTAAGGTTGTTAATCCAATCATGGACCAAAGCTTACTCATTGCTTTCAACATTAAGTCGAGCCGAACTCAAGTATGGAACTATATCCGCTCATCTCCGAACCAAGCATTTTTTCAGCTTAAAGAAGCCATGAATCAACAAAATGGAAAAGCGAGCACTATGAACGGGGAATGTACACACGAATTCGTGTAATCGAGCGGCGCCGAAAATTTCTAGGAAAGGAGTGCCAATTTTTCTTGGAATGTCCCGAAATGCCTCCTAGAACGAGTCCCGCATTTTGTCCCAACAAAGGACTCGGTTGTACTTTGGCGTGGCTCTTTTTGCTTTGAAACTTCAAATGCGTGTGTATTCTACCATCGATTGTCGTCTCGTCTTCTAGTTATATATGGAACATCGAAGAGCGGTCCGTTCAACTGCGTTTCCCAACTTCCTTAGCTGTCGACCGTTATGCCTAACATCATCAAACCGTCGCCAATAAATAATTAATAAAAAAACACGCGTTATTTTCCTACGTCAAATTTCTGGAAAAAAAATAACAAAAAATAACGCGAGGGGTATAACTGTAAACGAGGCATGGCGCCCCAGGTCTTGCGCAGTCCCGTCAATTTCCTCGCCCCGGTCAATCGCCCGAGGGCAGCTCCGTGAAACGACGCTTTTGCCCTTGCTCGACGTTTGGGGCTCGGTCAA